AAGGACAAATATTGTATAAGACCACTATTATAAGAACTCAAGAAAAGGTTTAAACACAGAAGAAAACATTCTTTGATGGTTATAAGAGTGGGGAGGGAGGGCGAGGGTTATTTACTAACTAGATAGTAGATAAGAATTATCTTAGGGGAAGGGAAGGACAGCACACAGTACCAGGGAAGTCAGCACAACTGGACTAAACCAAAGCTAAGAAGTTTCCTGAATACAATCAAACACTTTGAGGGACAGAGTAGCAGAGGTAGGGGTCTGGGGACCATGATTTCAGGGGACGTCTGGGTCAATCGGCATAACAAAGCTTTTTAAGAAAACGTTCTGCATCCTACTTTGGTGAGTGGCATCTGGGGTCTTAAAAGCTTGCAAGTGGCCATCTAAGATGCATCAACGGTCCCAACCACCTGGAGTAAAGGAGAATGAAGAACACTAAAGACACAAGGAAAATATTAGCCCAAGAGACAGGAAGGGCCACATAAACCAGAGTCTTCATCAGCCTTAGACCAGAAGAGCTAGATGGTGCCTGGCTACCACCAATGACCGCCCTGACAGGGAACACAACAGAGAGTCCCTGATGGAGCAGGAGAAAGGTAGGGTGCAGAACTCAAATTCTAGTAAAAAGACCAGACTTAATGGTCTGAGACTGGAGGAACCCTGGAAAGCATGGCCCTGGGATTCTCTATCAGCCCAGAACTTAAACAATTTCCGAGGCCAACTCTTCAGACGGGGATCGGACTGGACTGTGGGACGTAAAGTGATACTCATGAGAAGTGTGCCTCTTAGCTCAAGTAGATACAAGAGACTAAACGGGCAGCTTCTGTTCGGAGGTGAGATGGGAAGGCAGAGAGGGTTAGGAGCTGGTTGAATGGACATGGGGAATCAGGGATGGAAAGGAGGAGTGTGCTGTCACAGTATGGGGAGAGCAATTGCGGTCACATAACAATGTATAAATTTTTGTATGGGAGACTAACTTGAAATGTAAATGTCATTTAAACTACTACAATAAACCAAAAAAAGAAAAGAAAAACCTATACTGGTTAGGTCCTCAGAATAGGTTACCTTTTTAAATTTTTTGTTTTAATTGTCAATAAACTCTTTTCTCTAAGCTAATACAGAAGTCAACTTCAGCCTAGCCCAGGCCAAATTGTCACTAATTCTGAATTATCCAAATAGGAATTAATGAAGTGTTACTGTATCCAATTCTTTGGAATGGAGTAAGGACCCTGACTCCAATCAAGACCATCCCATGGATGTCCCCAACCATGAACCCTTTAATGGTGAGCAGTACTTGGTGGACAGAACCCTGGAGTGGGAGCCAGGGAACCGGGTTCTGATCCCAGCTCTGTCACTCACTTGCTGTGTATTCTTAGGCAAGTCGCTTCTGCTCTCTGGGCTTGGTTTCCTCCTCTGCAACTGAAGAACATGGGATAAGTGATCCCTGAAATTGTTGGCAGCTTGCATATTCTGTAATTTTTGTGCTCAAGGAGGCCTGGGATGGGGATCCTAGCATTTACTGAGTTTCTTCATCCATAGAATGTGAATAATAATAGTACCTTCCTCACGGTTGTTTTGAGGTTTAAATGAATTGACACAGGGAAAGCCCCTAGAACAGGGAAAGCCCTCAGTAAATGTTTGCTAATAATGGTAGTTATTATGTACACACATTCTCTCTGCTCCACTAGACTATAACCAGTTATCCCACTTTATACACAAGGAAATAGAAGCTCAAAGACGTTAAGCAATGTTACCAAAGTTCAGTCAGCAAGTAAATGAGAGTGACCCTGTGGCCAGGATAAAAGCAAGAAACTATCTCAAGAGAAATCACTCCAACTCTTATCTGGTCCTTATCTGACACTTGGTAGGTATTTAAGTCATTAGCTCCTTCCTCAATGCCCAGCTGGGATCCACCTCCTTTGAGGGCTATATTGCAAGCACTTCCCATTCTCAATAAAACATCTTTCGGTGGATGAGAGAGGAGAGATGCAGAGGTGTAAGGCGTGAGAAAGAGCTTTGGAAGTTACCAAGTAAAGACAGTCAGTGTCTTCTGATCATGCCTTACCTGCCCCTCCTCTTGTCCGAGGGAGGCAGCTTCCTGTTCTTTGGGGAGCACCCTGGCCTGGAAGGTGAAGTCCAGGATGCAGCAAAGGAAGTCGTTTTCTAGCTTCGGTGCTTAGATTGGCTCATCTTGGGGCAAAAGGAACTGGTGAGCTCACCCTGGAAGGAGGGTGGTGAGGGGAGAGAGAGACGCGAATTTCCGGGGGCTATTTCACTTTTCTGTTTTGTGCAATTTCACTTATATAGCCAATGCTTGGCTGCTGCTTTGGAAACTCCCCTACGGCGCCCCCTAGACTGGCCATGACTCCCTATAAAGGGCTGGCCCGGAGCGGACTTGCAGAGGATCCTGAGACAGCAAGTGCCGCCTTCACAGCCTCTGCCATCAGGCACCATGAAGGTGTCTGCAGCCGCCCTCGCTGTCCTCGTCATCGCTGCCGCCCTCTGCGCCCCTGCATCTGCCTCTCCATGTAAGTCCAGGTCCTAGCCACTGCAGCCCCCAGAGCCGGACCCTCTGCCCAATGCCCTCCCCACCTCTCTGACTGTCGCTGACCTCACCCTCTTTTCAACTGTTGCATTTACTGTCTGAATCCCATTATTTACATTCTTATGTATTGTTTTATCCAGATATCCAGCTGTCCCTGATAGGTCTCTAAGTCCCTTCATGGCAGGAACCGCTGATGAAGTTTTCTGTGTCTTCAAATTCTCCCGCCGGACCCTGCGGGTGCTCACTGAGTGTGGGCTGCTGCTGGGATTATTAGCAAGCGGGGACAGATCAAGCTGACCTCAAAACACAATTGACTCACGCCTAAGAAGTTTCTAAGAAACTTCTGAGCACTTAACTAAAATCCCTCCTGGGACAGTCATATCCTCCCCCATTTCACGGATGGAAAAACTAAGGCTGTGAGAGGATAAAAATAGCTCATGACTTAAATACCTACTATGCCTCAGACAGGAAACCCTGGTGGCATAGTGGTTAAGAGCAACGGCTGCTAACCAAAAGGCTGTGGTTCGAATCCTCCAGGCAATCCTTGGAAACCCTATGGGGCAGTTCTACTCTGTCCTGTAGGGTCACTATGAGTCAGAATAGACTCCATGGCAACAGGTTTGGTTTGATTTTATGTGTCAGATAAGGAGCCCTGGTGGCGCATGATTAAAGTACTCGATTGCTCACCGAAAGTTCAGTGATTTGAACATACCAGCCGCTCCATGGGAGAAAGATGTGACAATCTGCTTCCATAAAGATTACAGCCTTGGAAACCCCATATGGCAGTTCAACCCTATCCTATATGGTCACTATGAGTCGGAATCGACTCGACAGCAATGATTTTGATTTTTTGATTTTATGTGTCAGGTATTGTGCTGATTGCTTTACATGTATCATCTTATTTAATACCCTCTTTGAGTAGTTATCCTTGACTTACAGATGGGGAAACAGAGGCCCAGAGAGGTTAAGTAACTTGCCCAAAGTCACACAGCTAGGAAGCAGGGGAACTGGTATTCAAACCCAGTTCTCTCTGGCACTTAAACACCACTGCTCTGCTGGTAAGTGGCAACTGACACTTCCCAATGTCATCTTGAATTAATTAACCAACAAAAAGTCCTCCTCTCTGTTCGGAGCCCTTCACCCCATGTCTCAGCCAGAGAGGCAATATGCATCCTCAGGTCCTTCTTAGGGGTCCTGGATGAGCCACAGAGCCTGGGTTCTGGAAGCTCTCCCCCCTCCCATCCACCCTAGGTCCCAAAGAAACCAAGTTCTGAATCCATTAAAGGTCCTGGGAGGGCAAGAATGAAGGCAGAAGGTCCAGGGCGAGCCAGGAGGAGGCCTAGTATGTCCTGAGAGCCAAGGGCAGGGGGTTATGGTATACAGGAAACAAGACAAGCTGGGCTCAAGGATTAGATGAGGGGAGGGGAGGTCCCCCAGTCCTCTGCCGGAATCCCCACTTTGCCACTGTGTACCCATGGCCAAGTGACACTCTGAGTCTCAGCTTCTGCGTCAGTTTCTCATTCAAGATAAAGCATATAAAGCACTCAGCAGAATCCCCAGTGCGCACTGGCAACAAATCAAGGGATCTCCTTCTTTCTTCCTTCCAGATGCCTCGGACACCACACCCTGCTGCTTTGCCTACCACCCCCGAAAAATGCCCCGTGCCCACGTCAAGGAGTATTTCTACACCAGCGGCAAATGCTCTATGCAGGCAGTCGTGTGAGTCTCAGCCCGCTGAAGCCCTCCAGACCTAAGAGAATCCACCAAGGACCTGACAGGAACTAGAGATGAGAGGTCAGGGCTCAGGGCCCCAGTTACATTCAAATAATAATTTTAAAAAATAATTTTTTAAAAACCTTTTTTGATTGCAGAAATAATGAGGATCTCTTTTAAATATGTAAACTAATATATTTGGAAAAATACCCTTAGGTTTGGAGAGATGTAATAGTCCCTACTACACAGCAAGTGCCTACTATGTGTCAAATGTCTTAGGTGCATTATCGCTAAATTTCATACCTGGTAAGTATGCATAACTCTCTCCATGTTTAGGGTAACTAAACTGAGGCTCAGACAGATTTGGTGATTTGCCCAAGGTTATACAGTGAGTGAGGGGTAGAGTCTGTCTCTGGAATCTTCTCTTTCTACTAAAGCAAGGTCTTTAGTGATCTCTGCTTAGGAAATTCAAGAAGATAGAGAATGTAAATGGGGGCGTCATGACGTTTCCTATATAAGGGCGAATTTTTTAATCCAAACATTCTTGTGACACTGGCAAAGTGACAAGTATTCAAAGTCAGACTTTGATTCTGATGAATCCGTTTAGTGGTAATATTTAGCACTATTAATTCTGAAAACAAATATTTTTCAAATGAAAAATATACTTCACTGAACAAGTATTATGCACAGGAAGAGATTGATAAAGCACGCTCCCTGCTGTTACGGGGCTTATTAGAGCGGCAGGACCGAGGCAGCAATGACTAGCGTACCGTACCATGCGTTAAGAACAGTAGAAAAGGCTGAGCAGCCGGAGGAGGGCGGGAACATATGCAGTTTCAGGGTTTAGGAGAGGGGACTCAGCAGAGGTTTCCTGCAAGAAGTGCCAGCTAAGGTGGGACTTGGACTGGCAGAGAAAAGCCTGAGGAGCTGGGTGTATCAGGCAGAGGGAATGCCTCCAGCACTCACCTTTGGTTTGCGCATAGTCTCCGTGTAGGGAAGTCTGAGGGATAAAGCAGAAAGCGAGAGCTGGGCCTGTCCTGGTAGGGCCTTGAGTGTCAGGACAAGGAAGCAAACGCTTTCGAGCAGTCAAATGTGAAATGAGCTGGAACAGGAAAAGCCTAGAAAATAGGGGTCCAGTTTAGAGGCCGTTGTTATTATCCACACCAGTGGTAATAGAGGCTGAACAATGCCTGAAGGAAAAGAAAGCACAGACAAGGGTAAGAAACCTCCAGCGGTGGAGCCAGCAGGCGCTGGCAGGTGGCTTGAAATCAGGAGCAAGGAAGAGAGAGGGGATGAGGCTGAGGCTGAAGTTTCAACCTAAATGGCTGGAGAGGGGCAGAGCCACCGTAAGTCTCGAGGAAGAGCTGTTTAAAGACAAAAGACAGATGCGTGTGGTTTGGGTTAGTTTGAGCCTGAGGGGCCAGCAAGACAAACCTGTGGAAATGTCCCGCAGAGAGTGTGCTAAATGAGGAAGGGCATCAGTGCTAGAGATGCGACGTTCTTCTCTACGAGGAAGGGGTCTTCAATAAAAGAGGGGCAATATAATACAGTCTTGGTGAGCACTGGCTGTGGAGCTAGTATGCCTTTGTTAGAATCCCAGCTCTGCCACTTGGTAGCTGCATGAACTTGGGACAGTCACTTAACCTCTCTGAGCCTCAATTTTCTCATCTGTAAAATGGGGTGAATAGAAGTTTTTCCCTCAGTGGCTCACAGTATAACAAAATGTTTAGGATATTGCCTGGCACACAGTAGATAGCCAATAAATGCTAACTTAATGTCATCATCATCTAAATGTATTATTATATACATAGAAGTGACAGGTAAAACTTAAGGAGTGAATGCAATTCATTCATTCACTTTCTGACTCAATAAATACCCATTAAGTAAAATTTTATGCCAGACCCAAAGCCAGAAACGAGGAAAAGAACACAGAGGAAAGGGCAGCAATGCTGAGAAAAGTGCTCTTAAGGGACAGGTGAGGGTAGAGGTTCCCAAGGATCCTGAGCAGGCAAAGAAGGAAGTCAGGGAAGTAGACGGTCCCGAAACTGGGAGAAGGAGAGAAGGCTAGGCAAGGAAGGGCTGTTCTCTGGTGTCACATTCTGCAGGGAGCAGGCAGAAATGGAGGCCTGAGCAACTCTCACCCTAGATGTTGGTTTCCTGGTCTTTTGACTTCCTGGCCACAGGCAAGGGGGCCAAGGAGAGGATGATGAATCTGGCAGGATTTCCTGTGTGACTCCTGGCTGAGCAAGGGCAGGGTCTGTGTCTGAGCTCCCTCCAAATTCCGACTCACAGCGACCCTAAATAACAGAAAGGATCTGCCCCGTAGAGTTTCCTAGGAAGCAGACTAATGCATCTTTCTCCCGCGGGGCGGGGCGGCTGGCAAGTTCCAACCACCAACCTTTTGGTTAGCAGCCAAGCACTTAACCACTGCACCACCAGGGCCCCTGAAGCTCCCTTACCCGGCTCCCCTAAATAAGTGAAGAAACACTAGGGGGCATGAGAGCCCAGGATAGTCTTTATGCTCCCTTTCTCATCTGTGCACAGCAGGGTGGGAGAAAGCAAGAAAGTGGCTCAGAACCAGGCTCAGAAAGGGGACACAGCTTGCCTGCAAGCAAGTGTTATCCAGGCTGGAGCCCAAACAGCAACCAAGGAATCCTCGTTCTCCCCAGACCACCTATGCCTTCTCTTGGTCTGAAAACATCTGGGCTCAGGAATGTGCAGGAAAACATCCTAAAGGGGAAGTCAAATAAGAAAGGTCAAGTAGGCAGGGTTGACCCCTGGGTACTTCTGAGTATTCCTAAGTAATATGTTAATTGGCTGCACTTCTACCCAGACCATGGTCTCCCCCAGACAGAACTAGCAGACTGGTCAGGCAGGCAGCTAGACTGATGCCCATGACCCCACTTTTACACTTCCCGTTTACACCATCACCACCTGCAGAGATAGGGAGCTCTGGCTCAGGTGTTGTTGTTGTCAGCTGCCGGAGTCAGCCCCGACTCATGGCAACCCCACACACAATGGAACAGAAACACTGCCTAGTCCTGCGCCATCCTCTTAATCGGTTGTGGGTCAGACCGTTGTGATCCATAGGGTTTTCACTGATTTTTGGAAGCAGATCGCCAAGCCTTTCTTCCTAGTCTTAGTCTGAAAGCTCCACTGAAACCTGTTCAGCATCATAGCAACATGCAAGCCTCCACTTGGGTGGGTAGTGTCTGCACATGTGGCACATTGGCCGGGAGTCAAATCTGGGCCTCCCACACGAGAGCAAGTAATTCTACCACTGAACCACCACTGCCCTCATCTCACACTTACAAGCCTCCGCATCCTGGTTGGTTAATTGGTAGAAGTGCTTTGCCATTGCCAATATCTCAGGGCCCTCAGCCCCTCGGAGCCACGCTGTCCAGTACCAGGAACTGTGGTCTCATGTTACTCTGATCCACACCAAAGCAGAGGTTGCCCAGCAATCTAATAACAACAACACATTGTGGTATTTTTCAAAACTCTTTCACACGTTTGAACTTCACAACAATTGTGCAAAGTAGGAATTATTTCTATCCACATTTTAGAGGTAAACACATAGACTCAGAGGCCCTAAGTGATTCGCCTAAAGTCATCCAACTAGTAAGTAGTGAAATCAACACTCAGGTTCATGGCCTTTCACCCATCCATGCATGTACAGATATACTCATGGAGCCACTTTATGTCTACTCTGTGCCAGGCACTGTGTTGTCTGAAGCCAAATCACATGTTTTTTTTAACCACTTTTCAGCTCCCACTTACCCAGCCATGATTCGGTTCCTGGAGGACATAGAATTCACCCTCTTTCTCTCCCCAGCACCCAGCACAGGGTTTGGAATAGAAGGAGTGCTGTTTTCTGGCTAGTGGTTGACCAGCTCAACCCTGGGCCCCTCAGGCTCCATATCTCCAGACCCCTTTCAGCTTTCCAGGAAACCTGTGTTTGTATAGGGGTTACAGTGCATACAAATCTGCTTCTGGCTTACAGCCCTTTTACCCTACAGGAGAGGAAATGTGCTTTCTTTAGAGGCCACAAATACAATCTCACGGAGCTCCAAAATACCCCAGTACCACTAGCATTTTCCCTTATGTCTCAGTCCACCTCATCCTCAAAAAGCGGTGTCCCAGTGTTGACAAGGTCTCACCCCTTACCCTCCTTTTCCACAGCTTTGTCACCCGAATGAACCGCCAGGTGTGTGTCGATCTAGAGAAGAAATGGGTGCAGGAGTACATCAACTCTTTGGAGATGAGCTAGGATGGAGGGCATCTTGAACCTAAACTTGTACAAATTTTCCTGTTGCTGCTTGCTGTTGTCCTAGCCAGCTTGGGAGGCTGTTCCCCTCAATCATCTATGCCCACCCCTCTTTGGAAAGCAGGGATTCCACCACAAGGCAGCAGTTAGAAAAGCCTCCCCCATCTAAAGCCTCAAAAAGCTACTGGAAGTTCTGCCCTATGAACAGGCAGTCTCTAGGCTCTGAGCTTCTGGCTCCTCGGGACTCAGCTTGGCCCTGGCTCTGCGAACAGGAAGGAAGGCAGTGCGTCTCCAGAAGCAAGAAAGGAAGAAAACTGGGCTCCTAGGGGAATGTCCTGGGCCAAGTCCCATCTCAACCCCCTCACTGGGAAGGGATGACTGGCAAACAAGAAATCGGCTTTCTATTAAAATTCTCTGTGCAATTGCAAAGCTGGCTCCTGTTTGATTTCCTCCTCAGGAACCCTCCTTCCCCATGAGCAGTAAGCATGTGCAGGGCTTGCACACATCTAGTGTCCACCCTAGATTTGGGGGCTGTCGTCCTGCCCAGTGAGCAGGGCCAGGAGCGAAAGCTCTCTGAGAAGGAGGCATGGCCGGGACAGAGCAGGGAAAGTAACTGTGACTTGGTCACTCGGGGGGAAACAGCAGTCACTATCTCCCCACTCCAGGTCTCCAGCATTTAGACACTCCCTGCCTCAGACCTCGGCTGGCGCTTCTACCCACTCTGCTCCCCTGCCACCTTAGCCTATCCTCTACCCTATCCCCAGTAGATTTCTTTAACACCATCCTTGTCCCAGGAATGGGATTTAATGGCAATCCCAAAACTCCTCAGTTCTTTAAAATGAGGAGAATAAGGAAGGTTATTTTGTGGTTGTTCCAGGATTGCACCGGCACAAGGTGATACGTGAACTTTCCCACCTGTGTGTCCCTTCTTGCAAACGTATACTGAGGATGTACGTAAGAGTCAGAGTTGTATAGTAGCAATTCTAGCTAGCATTAATGGAGCACTCACAGTGCCTGTGTGCCAGGCACTGGCTCAGGTCCTTACATTCAGCTTACTTTCCATACTCACAACCCTATGGGAAGGTACTATTATTAGCCCTGTTTATACTGCGAAAACCCTTGGCACGAGAGATAAATGTCTTGCCCAAAGCCACACAGGGAAAAAAAAAAAAAGGATGTGGGTACAAATAAGATTTAAACCCATCAAGTCTAATGCCCAAGTCCATGCTTTTTGTTTCTACCTTTAATTTGCAAAATGTCAAACCTACAGAAATTTGCAAGAATATACCCACATAGGTTTCACTGAGATTCAATTATTAACATTTTACCACATTTGCTTTATCTATGTATGTATATAGATACATTTATATATATATACACACACACACATAAACATATATATATGTTTCTATATATCTCCAAAACCAGTTGCTGTCAAGTTGACTCTGACTCATGGCGACTACATGTGTGTCAGAGTAGAATCACGCTACATGGGATTTTCAATGGCTGATTTTTCACTAGTAGATCACCAGTCCTTTCTTCCAAGGTGCCTCTGGGTGGATTCGAACCACCAGCCTTTCAGTTAGTAGTCGAGCACATTAACCATTTGCACCACCCAGGGACTCCACCTACATGCACACACACACATATATGTTTATCATATGCATATATGTGTGTGTGTATACATACATATACATATATACAGTTGGTATATACATCTTTTTTCTGAACCATTTGACAGTAAGTTACAGACATGCTATCACTTCACCCCTAAAAGTTACCGTATGTATCTCCTCCTAATAACAAGGACATTCTATATAACTACAACAGGAGTAGCACACTCACCCACTCGGGAAACTTGACAATGACACAATAGTATTTTCTAATATACAGTCCGTAATCAAATTTCCCCAATTGTCCCAATAACATCCTTTATAGCTATTTTTTTTTAATCCAGGATCCAAATAAGTACACACATTGAATTTCGTTGTCATGTCTTTTTAGTATCTTTTGTCTTTCAAGACATTGATATTTTTTCAGCATTCAGACCAGACTTTTGCGGAATGTCTCTCGGTATGGATTTGCCCATCTGTTTCCTCATGTTTAGATTTAGGTTCAACAGTTTTGGCAGGAATACCACACAGGTGACGTTGTGTCTCTCTCAGTACTTCACATCAGGGCACATGATGTCAATCTCCTGGTGATGTTAAGTCTGATGACTTGGTGGCCCATGTTTTCTAGCTACAGTGAGCGGCCTGCTGTGTGCCAGGCACTATGCTGGGCACTGGACAGGCAGAAGAAAGAGGTGAATGAGCGACAGTCTCTGCCTTTAGGCAGCTCACAGTCCAGTGAGGAAGGTGGACCTGTGAACAGATAAGACAAACCATAAACATTTAAAGGGAAGGAGCTAGACAAAAGGCTGTGGTCATATTGAGGGGTGAAGAGGGATGATTACACCACTGAGTGGGTGGGGCAGGGAGCCTGAGGAGAAAAGGAGGCTTCAGAGATGAGATAACATTTGAACAGTCTGAAAGATTTAAAGAATTCTTTAACAGGTAGAAAATGAAGGGAAAAGCATGACAGGCAAAGGGAACAGCATATGCAACGGTATGGAGGTATGAAAAGCAGCTCCTTACTACACAGGTGAGAGTTCATAAGATTTGTGGGGAGTCTCTTGCCCCCAAGGAGTTGTGTGTATGTAAAAAGGGCTTTCCCATCCCTGCCATTTTCCCGCTGACTAATTCTAAGAACAATCTCTGCCCACAATTGACTTTCTTTTAGAATTTATGCCTCACCACGGGCCCTCCACTTAAGCCAGGAAGGTAAGACTTTCCCACTTGTCAGATGCGGAAACTGAAGCTCAGAGAGGTAAAGTGATTGGCTCATTTCCACAGGCCAGTAGATGCCAGGGCTAGGGCTCAAGAATGGAACTCGAGTGTTCTATTTACCAAGGCGATCTGGTTGCTCAGCACTTGGTAGCTTCTACCTCCGGCAGTCGGACACTTCACTGGTCTCTCTTATGTCAAAATGGATGAGTCTCCCCAGGATGTGCCTCCAGCCTCACAAGAGACCCAGAAGGAATCCTCAAGCCCTACCTCAACCCATCAGGGAAACAAAAAGATGTTCTATGAAAAAACTCATGTCCTCAACGTCACCAAGTCAATGTTCAAGTACCCATGGATGGAATATTGAGATAGGGTCAAAGGTGAGGCTAGAATGGACAGAAACAGAGCCAGGGGCAGGGGCCTGAAAGCCAGTGCCTGGCTCCCACTCCCAGCAGAGGGTGTCTAGGTGAGTTCAGCAAATCCATGGAAAAGGATAGGGCAGGCCCTTGGGTACTTCTGTGGCTCCTCAGAACCCTCAAGGTAAGTCTTTAGCTCCTTAGCAGGGCCCACAGGGCCTTCGAAGATGAGACACCTGTGTGTCTCCCAGCTTCTGCTCCCAGACCTGCACCCTGCTCTCTACCCCAACTCTCACACCTCCAAGTCTTTGCGTGAGTGTTCCCTGTGCCTGGTGCTCTTCCCCTTTGTCTATCTGGCTGACTCCTACTTGTATTGAAGACTCAGTTTGTGTATAAATCTCCTCTGGGAAACCTTTCTTGATCCTCCCAGCCAGGTAAGGTGCCTCTCATCTGTACCATCTGTGCTTCTATCTTCACATTTATTTCCCTCTGTTAATAATTAACATTTATATCTCACAAACACAGACTGGTGGTTCTCAAAGTATGGACCCTGCCTAAATCCCCAAACCAAAAAAAAAAAAAAAATCATTGCGGTTGAGTTGATTCCAACTTATGGTGACCCCATGTGTTATAGAACTGCCCCATAGGGTTTTCTTGACTGTAATCTTCACAGAGGCAGATTTCCAGGCCTTTCTTCCATGGCACTGCTGGGTGGGTTCAAACCGTCAAGCTTTAGGTTAGTAGACTATTGAAAGCGCCACCCAGGGCCCTCCCAGACCCCCAAAAATCAAACCCAAACCCATTGCCGTTGAGTTGATTCCGACTCATAGCGGCCCTACAGGACAGAGTAGACCTGCCGCATAGGGTTTCCAAGGACCGCCTGGTGGATTAGAACTGCCAATCTTTTGGTTAGCAGCCGAACTCTTAACCACTAAGCCACCAGTTTCCCAGACCCCTGGACCTCCAGAAATGCTAATTCTCAGACTCCACCACAGATCTACTGAATCAAGAACTCTGGGGATGGATCCCAGAAATCTGTGTTTCAACAAGCTCCCCTGGTGATCCTAATGCACTCATAAGTTTAAGAAATGCTGAAGTAAGCCAATGGTTTTCAACCTTAGATACACATGAGAATCCTCTGGGGAGCTTTTTAAAATGCCTAGGCCCCATCCCCAGAGAATCTGACTCAATTAGACTGATGTAGGGCCTGTTGTTGGATGCCTTCTAGTCAATTTTCGACTCATAGTGACCCCATGTGACAGAGTATAACTGCCCCATAGGGTTTTCTAGGCTGTAAAGCTTTATGGGAGCAGACTGCCAGGACCTCGGCATGTTAAAAGATTCCCCAGATAATTCTAATATACAGCCAAGGGTGAGAACCACTCTGTCAGATTAGAGCGTCTCAAACTTAACATGCATAGGAATCATCTGGAGATCTGGTTAGAGTGAAGATCCTGATTCAGCAGGTCTGGGGTGGAGCCTGAGAGTCTGCATTTCTGAGAAGCTCCCAGACTATGCCAATGGGCTGCTGTTCCATGGACCACATTTTGAGTAGCAAAGTACTAGAAGAAGAAGACTATGAGCCCCTGAAAGGCAGGAATTATGCCTTCCTTGCCTCCCTGGTGCCTGGTGAAACAACTGGCACCAGTGTTCACTAAATGCTGAATAGATGAATGCCTGAATGAATGAGTCTTTAAGCCACCTTTGCAAGGGCTCTTTCATTTGTTACCATACCACACTCTTATCCTTCTTCCCAGAATTCAGAAAAGCCACAGCTCTTGTTCACCTACCCTTGTCCTGCTACCAGGTAAGACCCCTAATTTTTGCCACCCTGGAAGCTTGTCAAAGTAGGAGGGACAGCAGACTGTCCTCTTCCATCAAGGCCAGCTCACAGAACCCTGGCACTCACTCTGGGGAAGCCACTGACTCTGTGTGACCTTGGACAAGTCACTTTTCCTCTCTGAGTCTCAGGAGCTTCCTCTGTCACAGGCCAACTCCTGCCTTTGTAGGCTGCTGTGAGAGAATGTCTCTCAGGCCTGAGTTATGCAGGCAGTGCTTAGTAATGGGAGTCATTTTTATTAGTTAACACAGGGATCCAATAGAGTTGCCACATAAAATACAGGATGCCCAGTTAAGTTTGAATTTCAGATAAACGATGAATAATTTTTTTAGTGTAAGTATGTCCCAAATATTGCATTCATTACCTGAAATTCAGTTTTAACCCCGTATCTTGTTTTTTGTGTGTTTTTTGCTAAATCTGGCAATCCTATTCATAGTGGGTCAATGCGTCATTTTCTGAAATCATGTCAATCACTTGAGACCCCCTTAATATTATCTTTTCAGTCAACAACTCGGTAGTCACTGGCTGAAGCTCCTTTTCCCTGTTTCCCAGAGAAATCTGTTGTAAAGACAGGAAGGCTTGAGAAAGACTTGAAAATCCCTTGACTTACCCCAAACCCTCTACTACAGGCAGAGCTGCTGTTTCACAACTGAGAGAGGTTATTTGAAGAAGTCTGTTTTCCCAATTAAACTGTAAGTTCCATGAGCGCAGGGATGATGACTGCATCCTCAGCACCTTACACAGTGCTTGGAACATAGTCCAAAAGATCCAAACCCAGTGCCGTTGAGTCAGTTCCGACTCCTAACAACCCTATAAGACAGAGTAGAACTGCTCCATAGGGTTTCCAGGGCTGTACATCTTTATGGAAGCAGACTGCCACGTCTTTCTCCCACAGAGCAGGCTAGTGGGTTCAAACCGTCGAATTTCTGGGTAGCAGCCGAGCCCTTTAACTAGTGTGCCATCAGGGTCCTTTTTTTGGCACATGGTAGGTACTCAATAAAAATTTGTTGATTCCTGAATGAATGAGGAGTAGCCTGTCTTTTCCCTATCTTAACTCCACATCTCCCCCACCCCTTGCCTTCCTTTTCATTTCCCTGCCCAGATGACCTTTTCAAGGAGCTTTGAGATCCTCAACTAACCAAACTTTGTACCAGATTGATTTACAGGTCACCAATGGCTTCACAATCTATATCTCTTTTGATCTTCACAACAGCCTTGGAAGGGGCACAGAACAAGGATGATTAGCTCCATTTTACAGATGAGAAGACTGAGACCTTGGTAGGGTGAAGTAACTTTCCCAAGTCACATGTGGGCTAGAAGGATGCTGTGACTCCAGCCCAGATGAGAGGCTGAAGGGAACTGTTCACCCCACCCCATTCCCATACCTAGCACCCATATAAGGGCCTCAGAGACCCTGGTTGAGGGATATCCTCTATGACTTCTCTGCCACTCATACCCTCAGATGCCAAAGGAGGAGTTCCCCCCAAGTCCAGAGTGCTGGAGGCAGCACCCGAGCAAGCCACACTCAGTGCCTTACTGCTACTCCCAGAGGCCTGAAATCTACTCACACTGGCACACTCTCTATGACCAGCGAGAGGAACGGGAGGGCCAGAAGATACTGTGGAAAATGAGAGACACCCCTAGGTGAGCTCTACCTGCCCCCAAATCCTCCACACCCTCCACACCCTCTAGGAAAGAGAGGAAGGAGGATGGGGTGGGATAGGGAGCGGGGCAAGTCAGCCTACAGGTCCCAGAGAGGACCCTGGGTAGAAGGGAGGCTTGTTTTGGGTGGATGTCACTGTGCCCTCCTCTGAGCTGGGCTGAAGACTGTGGCAGGGAGGGGTTGTGACCTAGGGAGGGAAGGAGCAAGGGAACCAAGGTCTGTGCAATTTCTTATGCAGGCACTTCAGGGAGAGTACTCACCTCCAAAACCTCCATCTCCCCATGAACAAGTTGACTCTAAAATCTCATGTGGCACCCAGGTCCTTAGGGCCTGCCTCAGATCCCCTAAAGTGGCAAAGATTAAAGGTCAGGGACCATAATGGAAGGGGGTTGGGGAGATTCCTTCTCTGTGGGCGCTCTTAGCTTAGGCTCACACTATCCTTCAGCCCTCAGTCCCTGCCTGTACAGTAGAGGGAGGGGAGGAAAAGGGGTTGCACTGGATAAGCTCCTTTCAGTTTGAACTTCTGTACTATATTTATCCCTTTCTTCTTTTCCACTGGCTGCCCTGGATGGGCAGGAACTCACACAAAGTCTGAAATCTCCGAGGGAGGATGAACAACATTATGCAGCTCAGGTAAGGAATGGTAAGGGTGGAGGAGGGCGGTTACAGTCAGGAGTTGGCTGAGCTGGAGAGTAAAAAGACACCTGAGGTGTGCGTGGTGGAGGTGGTATCCAAAGTACAACTTCCAGCTGTGTCCAGAGGATGGGAACTCCTGGGGTGGTGTCCAAGGTCTCTTTCTTCCTCCACCCCTGTTCTTGCAGGCTCTGGGGTGCCTGGGCATCAATGACAAATTTATCATGGAGGCACTACGGGAGGTGGTGAGTCTGGGGCTGTGTGGAGTTCCAGGGAGGGGAAAACAAGGTGTAAGGTGCAGAGGACAGGCACATGGGCACGGACAGTGCTCCCCAGGAGGTGCAAGGACACTGGGTCAGACCCAGGGCAGAGAGAGCCACCAATGTGTAGCATGCCCCCACATCATGCCCACATCAAGAACAGCTTGATATAAAGGGTGCAAAAGGGGGAATCTGAAGATCTCCTTGGCCTAACAGAAAAGACTGGACTGGAAGCCAGGGAAGAACTCGGGCCGAGTTCATTCTCTACCTCTGACTGAAACATTGCCATATGCTTCTATGCCAGTTTGCAACTGGAATCATGCATCCTTATCCATAATCTCATTTAAATCTCCCAACAACAATAGGAATAGGAATTAACATCTGCATTTTTCTAATTAGAAAAGGGAAGCTTTGAGAGGCCAAATGACTTGCCCCAGGCCAAGTGGCTACTAGATACCAAAAATAGGGATTTGAACAAAAGTCTGCTTCCCAAGACCAGTGTTCCTTCCATTGCACCATCCTGCCTGTGCTCTGTTTGAGTGTGAACAGGTCACTCTTTCGGTCTGTTTCCTCATCTGTAAAATGAAAAGGGTGGGCTGAGATGATCCTTAAACCTCTGACATTCTATCATCTGTGGTATGCTTTCACTACCTGCCTCCTAAATCAGGCCAAAACTGGTCCAGAGAAAGTGAAGTTCGAGGCCTATCGATCCCTGGCTCTCCTGGGTGAGTATGTTCTCTCCTGGGGTAGACAGTAGGGTAGGTGAGAAAGAAGAAAGTGCAGCCAGTCCTCAAGTCATGTGTGTAAGGGCAAAAACAAGTGGAGTGTATACCCACTACCACCTAGAGTTTATCGGGGTCTGGGAGCTATCTGATTACTGTTGGGCAGAGACAGGAAGGTGTGGTGAAAAGAAGAGATTGGAAAGGGTAGAGAGGGAGGGCTCCTGGAATTGTGGTAGTGCCCAGCCTGCTGCTCCAGTGTCCGGGAAGACGTACAACACCCTGGGACCTAGTACTTGGAACTTCTGTCTTGAGGGCACAGTGGAGTTAAATGGATCCTGGCAGAGAGGAGCAGCCCCTGAGGCTCTATCTTGACCTGAGGATCCTCCCTGTCCAGGTTGCCTGAATAAGCACGTGATCCAGGCTCTCATCCACCATCTGAAGGGGCAAAATGAAGCTCGAAGGATGGAGACTCTGGTGGGGCTACGAGTGGCTCTGAACAACCGGGTGGCTGTCCCTAAAGACAAGGTGATTGGGAGCAGATTCAGTAATTGGGGCAAACTGAGACAAGGTAATTGACAGTGCTGCCTGGGAGTTACAGCAGGCAGAAGATAGCCTAGCTCCCAGCTTTGACAGCAAGTGGAGTTCCTTGTGGAGTTGGATAGAAGCATATGGCTCTGCCATTTATTAGTCATACACTCTCTGAAAAGCCAGCTTTCCAAGTCGCTGTTTTGTTCATCTGTAAGATGGAGACAGTAACTACCTTATAGCATTGTTGAGAAAATTCCATGAGAAATGTATGTAAAGAATCTAGTACAGTGTATATGCTCTTTAAATGGTAACCATTTATCATCCCTAAAATAACCTATTAAAGTCAAGTCTCTATCAAGAGAGGATGGGACCAAGAGAGTCCTCTGACACTCTGGGTTTCTTTTCCCTTCGGGGTCCTCTTACTTTGATCCCATCACTGCCCCATGTGAAAGAGAATCCATCATTCATTCATTTATTCAACAAATATGTATTAAACATCTATCACGTGTCAGGCACTGTTGTAGGCCCTTGGGATACATCAGTGGATCAAACAGACAAAGAACTTGCCCTTGTGGAGCTTACATTTTAGTAGAGAGAAACACACGATACCCAATAAATTTAATTAGAAAACTACATACGGTATGAAAACTGTGAGAGCCAGAACTCAGTGGGACTGCCTTGTTTTTCGGTTTCTCACGTTTTCTGCCTTTGATGGGGTGCAGTCTTACCACTTTTCTATTACTCATTTTAGTTGAAAATGAGTTTTCCTTCTCTGACAGGTTTCTACCTTACATCGGTTCCAGCTTTCACAGGTTTTGCTGGGCATTTTAGAGGTGACAGGGAAAATTATGTAGCAAGGTGAGGGTGATCAGCAATGCTGAGTGGGGATGGGAATGCATTACAATTTTAAACGTGGTGGACAGAGGAGGCCTCATTTAGAAGTTGACGATTGAGCAAAGACATTCCAGGCAAGACCAGTCAACACAAAGGCCCTAAGGCAGGAGCATGCTTGGCGTGGTCAAGGAACAGCAAGAAGGCCAGTGTGACTGTAGTGGATTAAGAATAGAGAGAGCCATGAGCAACGAAGTGAAGTTACAGAAGTTAGCAGGAGACTAGATGCTTGTGGCCTTCTGGGTTGTTTTAAGCACTTGGGCTTTTAGTCTGTGTTGAATAGGGAGCCATTAAAGTTCTTGAGCACAAATGTGACATGATCTAACTTACATTTCAAAAAGTTCACTCTGAATGCTGTGTTGAGAAAAAATATTGGGGCCGGGGAGTGGCCAAGAGTGGAAGCAGGGAGACCAATTAGGAGCTACTGAAACAATCCTGGTGAGAGATAATGGTGGTTTGACCATGGTGGTAGCAGTGGAGATGGTGAGAAGTGACTGAATTCTGGATATATTTTAAAAGTAAAACTTTGATTGAATGTGAGCTATAAAAGGAAGTGGTGAAACAAGGACGAAGCCAAGGTTTTTGGCCTAAAACTGAAAAGATGGAGTTGTCATCAACTAAAATGGAAAAAGCTGAAGGTAGAATAGGTTTGGAGATAATATCAGTTCAGTTTTGGATAAGTTAAGTTTGAGATGTCTACTGGACCTCCAAGGGAGATGGCAAGTAAGTAGTTGGATATACAATTTGGAGTTTAGGACAAAGTCTAAACTAGAAATAGCAGTCTGAGAGTTGTCAGCATATAGATGGCATTTAAAGTCATGACACTTGATGACATCACCAAGGAAAAAAAAACAAGAATCAAGATTTGGGGCACCCCAATGTTAAGAAGCCAGGTAAAAGAGGAAGAACAAGCAAATACTGAGAAATGGTCAAAGAAGAAGGAAGGCAACCAAGAATGTGGTATTCTGAAAATCAGTGAAGAAAATATATCAAGGAGAAACCAACTGTATCAAATAAGATAAGGACTGATAATTGATAAGTAGATTTAACAATGTAGAAACCATTGATTATCTTAGCAAGAGTCATTTTAGTGGGGTAGTAGGGGTGAAGGCATGATTGGAGTGGGTTTAAAAGAGCATAAGAGGCAAGAAATTGGACTGCAAGTATGGATAACTTTTCAAGGAGTTTTGCTGGAAAGGGTGGCAGTTGGCACCAGAGGTGATTCTAGGAAAGAGGAAAAATAACTGTTTCTATGCTGAGGGGAACAATCCTACAGTTAGAAAAATGATTTTGAAGAGAGTAGGGAGAGCTACTGTAGCAATGTCCTTGAGTAGGTGAGAGGGGATGAGATCTAATACACAAGTGTAAGAGATTGACGTTAGACAGACAGATGGTCATAGTCCAGAGTAAGAACTGGAAAGGAAGAGCATAAGGGTACAGGTGTTGGTAGCTGGACAGAAATGGTGGTAGATGCCTATGGACTTTCTTTTCTAGTTGCTTATATTTTCTTGGTGAAGTAAGAAACAAGGTCATCAGCTGACCTTGAGTCTCACCAGAGTGAGAATAGAGGAAGAAGTATTACAGTTTCCAGAGGAAAGAGTGGGAAAGAGATTTGCTCAGGGGAAAATAGTATGATTACTAGGCAGCATCAGGGTCTACATGAGGTTTGTGCTCATATATTTAAAGCAAGATCAGTTGCCATGATTGTATGTTTTTCTCCAGGAGGTGCAGGCACAGAAACGGATTTAACAGGATTGTGGTTCTGTCAAGGGAATACAATGAAGTGGGCGGGGGGGGGGGGGGGGTCGTGCGGTAAAGGATTTGAGGGTGAGGCAAGGGAGTGGTTATAGCAGAACCTTGGAATTTAAGCTGAGGAAAGAGTAACAGCGAGAAAGCACGAGAGTATGGCCCCCGGACACCCTTTTAACTCAGTACTGAGGTCATTCCTGGAGTTCACCCTTCAGCTGAAGATTAGACAAGCCCATAAAGCAAACAACACACTGTATACGAGACTAAATGGGCACACCAGCCCAGGAGCAAGAACAAGAAGGCAGGAGGGGATAAGAAAGCTGGACAGATGGAAATGGGGAACCCGAGGTCAAGAAGAGGAGAGTGCTGACACATCATGGGGTTGGTAACCATTGTCACAAAACAATATATGAACAATATATGTATTAATTGTTTGACGAGAAACTAATTTGCTCCGTAAACCTTCACCTAAAGGACAATCAAAAAAAAAAAAAAAAAAAAGAGGAGGTGAGGATCAGTAGGCAGTAGGATCAGTTAGTCTGTGGGAAGTCAAACAATTGTTGACATCAGGATACTACAGGAAGTGAGCTGGAAAGATAGAAGGTGAGGGTCAGAGAGTGAGAGCCACATGAAATGGAGATTATGGAGAAGCTGCAGTTATGGGTCATGACGAGGTCTCTCTGTGGGAAATTAGTGGCTGAGGTAGAGTGGATGACAAGGTCATTGGAGGAGAGGTGTTGGATCAATTACATGTATATATTTTTTAAGTGCCAGGAATTAAGACACAATTGTTAAAGATTAACAGTGATCCAGGAGATAGAGAAGTGAGGAGAGGTGATTTAGGAGCCAGTAAATGTCAGCAAAAATAAGGGTCAAGTGAATGAAATAATGTGATGACATGAGATGCATTTTAGGGAGGGAGAATGGTCTGGAAGCAGCAGTGAATTGCCCTCTTACAAAGTACAAAGCCTGGCTAAGGACATAGCCCCTCACTCTGCCCATTTCTACTCCTGTCTCCTTGTTAGAGGACTCAAGTGGGGGACGAAGAGAAGCTGGTGCCTCTGCTGCAGATGCTGATGAAAGCCTTGCCGAATGATGCAGCTCTGGAGGCAGCCCTGTGCTTGGGTTTCCTGAAGCCCTGCAGCAAGGTGGTCCGAGAGTTCCTGCTGCAGTGCCTGGGCCAAGGGCCTAAGACCCAGAAGATGAAGGTGTCAGGGGCAGGAGGCTGGTCTCCCAGGGAGGACTGGGAAAACAGAGCCCACTGCTGACTTGAGTAGGGTCTGGATCCTGTCATCCTCATCCAGAGAAAGGGAGCTTCAGCAGGGAGCAGTGTGTTTGTGAATATGAATATGCATGAGTACGAGGTCAATGTGGACTTGTAAGTGTACATGTGTCTATCTGATGTGCATGGATGTTCATTTATGTATGTGCACACAGGAACCTGTGCTCTCCTCCAAGAGGCAGGCAAAAGAACCCCACCTGATCCCACCAGTTCTAGGCTCAGCCCTCAAGTCAGCATGGCCATCCAGAATCCTCTTGACCCTGTCTGCCCTACCCTGCCCTGCCCACTAAAGGCACTTAGGATGCTGGTCAAGGTGATGCATGTGCACTCAGCCACAGTCATCAAGGCCATCCTAGAGCAGTTGTGCTCTTCCAGTGTCCTTGAGGTAAACTCTGGGGCTGCCTTGTACCTTTCCTTCTCCAACACTAGGACAAGGTTGGGGGGGAGGGTAAGAAAGGGTCTGTCCTTCATGCCTTCCCCACCCCCTGCCCTCAGCACCGCTTTGAAGCCACCAAGATGCTCAGGACCATTGGGTTGGAAAAGATCCAGGCCGAAGGGTTGGAGGGACTCACATTTGACCTGCTCAGGAAGAAGGTGTATAATGAACCCTTCCTGGTGAGTGTCACCAAAGCTCCCAAGCCCAGGCAGCCCAAACCTGCCTCCTCTCCCACCCTAGAGACCTCCCCCCACCCCAAACTATCACATTCACGCTAACCAATTCCCTGTTCTCCTAATGCAGCCCGTGTTTTTAAGCTACTCTGCCTTTACTCAGGCAGTTCTCTCAGTTTTAAATGCCCTGAGTCATCCCTTCCTCCTTTGCAAGGTAAAAACTATTCACTCCCACTGGTTAGATAACCCCTCTCTCCTGCCTATTGTAACACTATCGCTTCTTCAAGACCAGTCCAAATGACACCTCCTCTGGGCAGCCTTCCCAAATTGCCACAATTGCCTTCCTCTAGTTTCCTGTTTTTTACCTTTATTACAACTTGTTACAGAACCAGTCACCGGCCTTCTAGAGACATTTTCTCTGAAATGTCTCTGCATAAAACTTTTCAGTGGCTCCCTAATGCCTTCCAGATGGCTTACAGCACCTTCCCAACTCAAGGCCTGCTGACCACCCTATGCTTAGGGCAGCCATGTCCTGAAAGCCACCTGTTGTCCCAGTGTAATTACTCAGAATGCCTCGTTTTGAGGAGTCCCAGTTTGGTTGCCTCACTAAGCTGAACTATTTTCTGTTCCCCTACGCAATGTCTTGCCTCCAGGCTTTTGCATATGCTCTTCCCTCTGCCCAGAAACCATCCCCCAAAACCCTCTGCCTGGTTAACTCCCACTCATCCTTCAGGATTCAGCTGAGGCATCAGCTTCTCCAGGAAACCTTTCTGGTCCCCAAGACTCAGTTAGGAGACCCTCCAATGTGCACCCTACCCTTGGCCCAGCTATAACACTAACCCAGTACCGTACTTGCATATTTACTTGTCTGCTCCCCACCCCCACAAGACTCTGAGCTCCTCAAGGCAGGAACCATATGTAGCACAGAGTAAGCATTCAACAAAGGTTTGTAATGCACTTAGATGTACCTCACTGTATTCCCTCTCTGTTGTCCCACCTTGATCCTTCTGTAGGCTATGAGGCAGGCTGTGGCTGAAACTGTGGAGGAGCTCAAGATGAAGCCTATGATGATGAACCTGGTAGAGGCGTGAGTGGCCTCGGCTAGGAACTGCCAGGGCTAAATTCCTAGGCTGCGGGAAAGGAGCAGGAAGGCCAGTGAGAGCTGAGAACCTACTTACTGCCGGCTCTCAGCTCTCACTTGCCTGTGTCCCAGGGCAAGTCACTCTTTGACCCTGGGCTTCTCTTCATCTGTAAAAAGGGGTTAATAATGCCTACCACTCAGGGTTGCTATACAGCTTAAATTAAGATGAGGACACAAAAGGGATTTGTTAAGGTAAAATTCTGGACAGATGTGAGTCCTAATCATCACTTAGTGCCTCCTAGCAAATTGTAGTACCTGCTTTCCCCTATCCAGTCCCTTTCTTGACCCAAGAAACAAGAGGGGGAAATGAACAAAATTAGCATCACTCACTGGCATTATGCCTGTGAGAAGCAATCAGCCTCCTTCTCCCACCTCTTAACTGGACCACAACACACTCACTCCCTTCTACATAGGCAACTGATGCACTCCAGCACCACTGCACGCCAGGAAGCAGTCATCTCTTTGGTAAGGCCAGCTCTACTTCTCTGACCTGATTATTGAGATGTGTTGATGGCAAGGGGAGTAGGAAACTGAGAAGAGTTACTGAGGGAAAGGGCTGTAAGGTTTAGGGAGGTTGTTTGCTTGCTTATCTGTTTTAGATTCCAGCCCTGCCAGGAGTTCAGAGTAACCTTTTCTTCACGGTTAGGGGTGGGTAGGATAAGGGACAGGAGACGGGGGTAGGGGCATTGCTTTGATATTGCAGAAGTTATATCTTGACTCTTCCTGGTGAATAATGGGCATTGGAGCCCCATGCAGTGAGGTGTGGCAAGGAAGAGGATTATCTGGGCGGGGAGGGGGCCGGGGGAGGCAGTGGGTGCTCTCCCTCTCTCTCCAGCCTGCAAGATCACCACAACGGGACTAGACTGAAAAAGGGCACAGATAGGGCATCTTCCTGGAGCTGGCTACTTAAGCACTCTATGTATGCACACATATGTGCACACGTGAACTTGTGCTCTCACTTAAGAGGCCAAAAGGCAGACGAAAGAAGCCCACCTACTCCCACTAGTTCTGGGCTCAGCCCTCAAGTCTGCCTCTCACTCTGCCTCTGCCAGGGTGTCCTGGGTATCCGCAGCCCTCACGTGTACCACTTGCTCCTAGACATGCTAGATGCAGAAAAGAACCAGGATATGAAGAAAAGCGTAAGCCATTCCTTCCCACTTCTTCCTTTTCTCTATCCCTTCTCCAAGCCTCTCCTGCCCATCCTCACCACTAGCTCCTTATCTAGAGAGAGGAGTGGAGAATGAGCCTCAGACACTGTCCCTTGACCTCACACCTTGGGGCCATAATGGCCTGTGGCCAGAGCTCCTCCTCTTGGGTGGCTCCTCCTCTCCCAGCCTGAGCCTGAAGTGTGCCAGCCCAAGGGCCTTTGTTTCAATGCAGCTACAAAAAACATTAATCCTTTTGGCCTCGACTGATCCCTGGGTCCGGAAAAAGTTGAAGAACAAGGTTCTCTTTGTATATGAGGCGCCTGAGACCAATGTAAAGCCAGAGCCTACCAGGTTCCGGAAGGAGCCTGAGAGCCCAGAAGAGTTTACTATCCAAGACTTTCAACTTGCACAGCTGAGCCCCTTGTTTGTTGCGAAGTCCAGCATCAAAATGGACCAGCAGGAAAAGTTGACGGGATCTGTCTTACACGCCACCATGAGTTCAGACTTGTACGCAGCCACTGCCTTCTCATCCTGTTTCTCTAACCCAGTAAAAGACACATCACAGGCTAAAGGGCCCTGGGAGCTAAAGATCAGGAGACAGCTCCAGACCCTCGCTAAAACCTCCAAAAACATCAGCTCTCCCCCTGATGATGCTTCTCAGGCTCCCCATACCTCCCATGAATAAATGAGTGTCATTCTACCCACTACACCTCCCTGAATCACTGCCACTGCTGTGTCCTTCCTCTTGTCATGCCAGAGGCTTCACTGGAACACCAGTCTTCTCACTCCTGGTCAGATGTTCCTTCCACTCAACTACATGGCCTCTCATCAGGGGAAAGAGGAAAGGGGATAGAGCCAAAGCTTTGGATAGTCACCCTGCCTCCCAAAATCAAGTCATTGTCTAGGCCCACAATTTGATGACAAGCTAAAGAGATGAACCTCTGCCCAGATGGGGCTACTGAAGGAAAACTAGGAGAAAATCCAATAAAGTTTGGCTCTTGGACCCATTTCCTCTAATTTGCCTCCTTCCACCCCTACCCCACCCACCAAGTCCCCAATTCCTTATCAACCAATCAGTAGTCAGGAGATAAATGAGCAGTAATCAGGGCCAACTATCCTCTCTGCTGCCTCTTCTCATACACCTGCCTCAGTCACTCCCTTTGAAGGACGCTATTTACCCTCTATAACTCCCTCAGTTTCTCCTTTTTCTACTGAAGCTTCAGTTTCCCACTCTCAGTAGGATCTGCCACACCAATCCCAACAAGCTACATCTTCTATCAAGAAGGAAAAGCCCAGGCTTTGGGGTGTGACAAATCTGAAATCTAATCCTAGGGTTCATCACTTACTTGATCTCTGACTCTGGAAAAGTTACTTAACTTTTCTGATTCAGTTTCCTCACCTTTTATAAAATGAAGAGAATAATGCCTACTACCTCAGATAGTTCCTATAAGGATTAAATAATAATATAAAGTCTAACAGTGCCTAACTTTACATAGTAAGCACTCAGATGTGAACCTCTTTTCTCTTCCTTCCCTTCTTCAGGCTTGTCATGAGAGCCTATGACCACCAGAGGTCAAAAAAGACTGACTCCTCTCACCCCAGTATATATTTTCCCAATCCTACTGGAGTGTTCTAATGGGAGGTTAAGTTCTTTTCATCAAGCATAGAAAGAAGCTCAAAGGTCTTCTACTTCCCTTCACTTCAGGTTCTAGAATAGTATAACCAGTTAAAAGCCCTGGATGTCAGAATGGGAATTCTGAATTTGGCATGGTGTGTATCACTCAGATTTATCTCCCAACCTGCTCCACCACTTCCAGAATCATGTTTTGCCTCATAGAGCTGTAAGTAAATACTGAGTGTTTTCACAAACAGCATTGCCTGGGGAACCCTCTAATTGTGTGGCACAAAAACCAAAGAGAAGAAAGATGTTCCTCCCATCTTACCCCCTTCTCTGCAGCTTTGGGTCAAGAGCAACATAACCTAAATTTTCTTGGGCCTCAAAAGCCTGTAGGTACACAATACTGGGAAAGCCAGCCCAACTTGTTCAGGCTAAGGTCATGGAAGCTCTATGGACAAATCCAAACTCCCTTAGGGACTGAACTGCTGGGCTGAGGGCTGTGGGGACCATGGTCTCAGGGAACATCTAGCTCAACTGGCATAACACAGTCTATAAAGAAAATGTTCTACATTCTACTTTGGTGAGCAGCCATCTAAGATACTCCACTGGTCTCACCCCTTCAAGAGGAAAGGAAAATGAAGAAAACTAAAGACACAAAGGAAAGGTTAGTCCAAAGGACTAATGGACCACAACTACCATGGCCTCCACCAGACTGAGTCCAATACAACTAGATGGTGCCCAGCTACCACCACTGACTGCTCTGACAGGTATCACAATAGACGGTCCCAGATACAGCAAGAGAAAAATGTAGAACAAAATTCTAACTCAAAAAATAGACCAGACTTACTGACCTGACAGAGACTGGAGAAACCCCGAGAGTATGGCCCCCAGACACCCTTTTAGCCCAGTAATGAAGTCACTCCAGAGGTTCACCTTTTAGTCAAAGATTAGACAGACTCATAGGACAAAACAAGACTAAACGGGCACACCAGCCCAGGGGTAAGGAGTGGAAGGCAGGAGGAGACAGGAAAGCTGGTAATAAGGAACCCAAGGTTAAGAAGGGAGAGTACTGACATGTCGTGCAGTTGTTAACCAATGCCATAAAACAATGTATGTACTAACTGTTTAATGAGAAGCTAGTTTGTTCTGTAAACCTTCATCTATAGTGCAATTAAAAAAAAAAGCCTGTGGGTACAAACAAGACCTTATTAACAGCAACTCAAATTTTACCTGCATAATTCAGGCTCTCAACTCCTCCAAAATCCTGCGTGCAGATTCCCAATCTCTCCCTGTTCATATCTGGGTGTCTTTAGAGAATGTCTTATTAGTCAACCAGATACCAGTCTCTGCCCAATAGCACGCCAGTCTAATTTTACCAATCCCTACCAGAAGGCTGAAGACAGCAGTGGGCATAAAGGTCTTCATAGAGCACCCACCATCAATATACTAGAGTCTTTCCAGTGCGAAAGATGCCTAGATCAAACACTCTTAAAAACATGCTTAATCCAAGCCACAGCCAGTTTCTCCCAGAGTCTTGAGATGCCCATTCCTCTCAAACATCAGGATCTGTTGGAACTTGTTAAGGATTGAATTGAATCCCTCAAAAAGTTACACTGAAGTCTTCACGTGACTATTTGGAAATAAGGTCAGTCTTAATCCCACTGGGTAGTATTTTATAGAAGAGAACAAAACAGAGTTAGGGAACAACAGCCATGTGATGACAGAGGCAGACATAACCGCAAACTAAGGAATGCCAACAATTACTGGGAGCCAACAGAGGCTAAGAGACAGGCATGGAACAGTTAATCTCTCTCAGAGCCCTCAAAAGGCATCAACATGCCAATACTCTGATTTGGACTTCTTGCCTCCAGAACTGTGAGACAATAAATTTGTTCCACCCAGTTTGTGGTATTTTGTTACAGCAGCCCTAGGAAACTAAGGCAGGACCAATCCTTGGACACTACCCAAAATGTAAACCCCTCTCTTATAGCTCTTCTGCCCCAAATCTTTCTAATGGGCTCTATGGATGTTCTTTCTGATGGCAAACAAAAACATCTACACCTTCCATCTGTTTCTTGAACATTCTTATCCACCTCTTTGCTGTAACTGAAATCAGGCTCTCTCCTGAAGAGGCCTCTTCCTGAAATCTCTCTGGTGTTGCTCATTCTCCAACATCCTTTCCAATGTCACCACTGTACTGCACCCTTATAGAAAGATCAGTGTTCCTCTGAAGTTCCTGCTCTACAACCAGCTATACCACCCTCTGCCCCACTTCCCCATTTCCTCTCATTCATTGCCTGAACTTGACTTAGTCTTGCCTTCACCTGCATGGCTTCCCTTTGGGCAACCATCCAGCCTCTCAGTCCTTTATCTCAACAACAAAGGCCTTCTCTTTCATTCACTTCAGCTACCCACTTCAATGGCCACACCTAACCCTTGTTATCCCCAGGAATTACTCCATCTCTAGAATCTTAAATATCCCACTTTTTGACCTAAACCTTCTATCTATCCAGCTCTTATTGTCCCCACTACGAGTTCTTTGAATCTCATAAGTAACACTAAGCTCTTGACTTCTCTAAATTCTACGAGCCCCGTTAACATTTTTTCTCCCTACTCAGCCTAGACCCCATGATCCATCAACACTATCCTCACTACTCTCACACCTCCACTATCATCTCTCTGGTCAGTAAAATCCCTACTCTGAATCAAGTTGTCTCCATTCCTATAACCAGAATGATGATCAAAGCTGGAGAAAAATCATATATCCATGGAGACTGGTGCCCCCAAAATATTTGCCTCCTACCTTAACTGAGCCCTACTGTTGCTTGGCAATTTTATATTTCTAGCCACAACACTTTCCTATTCCCCACAGTGGTTATTTCAAACCTTCTCTGCTATCTTCAAATCTCCTAGTCTCTTCAAACTTTCTATCATTTCACTCCTCCAATTCTCAGTAGACCATTATACTTAATAAAAGGAAAAAAAAAAAACGGAATTACCTCAAGTTCCTGCCACGTCACCTATAAGCTTCCTTGAATGTAGTAGTTAAGCCAGATGCCTGGGTTAGAACCTAGCTCTGCCACTTACCAGAGATGTGACCATGTGCAAGTTGCTTAATCTCTGTGCCTCCATTAATCACTGTACCCTCTGGAAAATCCACTTCCCAATGGCAACCAAAATCATTTACACCACCCATCTCTTCCTTGAAATGTTTCCTGTATCTCCTTGCCTCAAAGGACTGTTGTAAAAGTTAAAGGAGTTAATACATCACTAGCACACAGTAAATTCCCAATAAATGTTGATCATTTGTTACTATTATTAGCATCTGCACCTATCCTTCCCTCGAATTGCAATGCAAGAGGCATTCTCTTCTAAGGCAAATCCTCCACCAGGGTTCTGAATGCCATCTCGTCAATGGATTACAACATCAATTATCCCCATTTCCTTCCAAATAGTATATAAACATGTTCAATTCCCACCCATCTTAAAAATAACCTCCCAAAGCCCATATCCCTGTCTAGCTACCTCCTCCTCTCATCTCACCCCACCTCCAACTACCCTTCATAATCAAGACTCTTCAAAAACTTACTAGCTGATTCTAGTATACAGCTAAGATGGAGAACCACTGCTCTAGAATCTTAATCACATCCACACTCACCACTTCCATTACCATTTATATGTTGATGACTCTCAAATCTGTATTTCTAATACATTCAATTAGTCAATAAATATTCATGGAGTGCCTACTCTGTGCCTGACACTATTCCAGACACTAGGGTAGAAGAGTGAACAACAGACAAGATTCCCTACTTTCCAGGAGCCTATATTCTAATAAGGGAAAGGTATAAATGAACCACCACAAAAAGATCATTTCAAAGAGTGGTTAAGTACTGTGACATTACAAGAGATGAGAATGACTGGGGAGAGGGACGATATTTTAGATAGGATGATCAGGGAAGACCTGGGAGGAAAGAAGGGTAGAAAATGTTCTGACACTGTAACGAAGAGAGTCAGTCAAGTGAATACCTGAGGAAAGAGAATTCTAGACAAAGCAAAGAGCACATGCAAAGTACTGAAGCAGAAGCATATTTTGGTACCATCAAGAACCATGGCCAATGTGTTTGAACCAAGGTAAGTATGGAGAAATACGAGGTTAGAGAGGGAGGCACAGACCAGATCCTATAGGACTTTGTAAGACAGGGTAAGGAATTTATAATCTACTTGCAATAGAAAGTCACTGAAAGGGTTTTAAACAGAGGCATGACATATGGTCTAATTTACATTTTTACAGTATCACTTGGCTGCTGTGTGAAAAAAACATTTTAGAAAGCAAGATTGGAAGTACAGGACCAGTGAGTAGGCTACTGCAATTGTCCAGAAGAGATATGATAGTAGCTCATACCAGGATTGTAACCAAGACTATAAACATGGTTTCTGGATATACTTTAGAAGCAGACATAAAAGGACCTACATGTACAGAATGAATGAAAGTGAGAAATTAAGGATAACTTCTAGGTTTTTGATTTGATCTGACCTGGGTGGATGGTGGAGACATTCACTGAGGTTAGGAAGAAAATGATTTGGGGGCGGGAATCAAAAATTCTACTTAGTATATGTTAAATTCTAAGCACCCATTTTACATCGAAGTGGAAAGGTCAAGTAGGCAAATGGATATAATCCAAAATTAAGGGGAGAGGTCAGGACTGGAGACATAAATTTGGCAGTCATCCCTGTGTTAAATGGTATTTAAAGCCAGAGTCTGAATGGGATTGCCCAGGGAAAAAATGAGAGTAAACAGAAGAGAGAAACAGGCTTAGAACAAGCCCTAGGAAACTTTCGACATGTAAGGGTCAAGTATAGGAGAAGCTCACAAAGGAGACAGAGAGGTCAGTAAGGCAGAAAACCAGCTGAACATGGTGCTGAATGCGACTTTTTCTGAGCTGAAGATCTGTACATCCAACTGCCTACTGGATGTCTCTACTTCGAAGTTTCAGAAGTGCCCCAAACTCAACATGCCCAAAACTGAATTCATTCTGCCACCCCACCCTGAAACCTGTTCCTTTTCCAGTGTGTCCTACCTAGTTCAACTAACAGTGCCACATCCACTCAGTTATCCAGGCCACAAATCTTCCCTCCCCTTGGACTCCATACCAAATCCTGCAAAGTTTACCTCATTTCTGAAATCTATTTACTTATGTCCTTCCCAAAATACTATCTGAGCCCAGGCCAATGTCATCTCTCACCTGGCTTACCATTTCGTCTCTAGTCCCGCCCTTGCAATTTACTCTCTACAAGGTAGCCATACCATCTTTCATTTATGTCACTCAAATCAGATCATGACACTCCTCTGCTTAAAATCTTTTAATGTCTCGCTTTCAAAAGATCAGTGGTTTGAATCCACAGAGGGGTGCCTCGAAAGAAAGGTCCAGCAATCTACTTCGGAAAGATCGCAGCCATTGAAAACCCTCTGGAACACAGTTCTACTCTGAAAACACATGGAGTTGCCATGAGTCAGAATTGACTTAACAGCAACTGGTATACTGGATTTGGAGTCAAGGGAAAAATAAAACCCAAGGGCCTTATCATATAAGCTTGTCCACTTCTCCAGTCTTATCTTTTGTATGCTAACCCTTGAATTCTTCCCTGCGGTAACTGAACTTCACATGGTCCTCCTAAGGTGCACAGTCTGCTCCCCACTCTGTCTCTTAACTCCTGATTTGCTCATGTCATTAGTTTCCTCTGGGAAAATCATTTCCTCACCCTAGCCCCTTTACCTGACCAATTTCTACTCTTCCCTCAAGACTCACTGATCTCATATGACTATATTAAGTGTCTTTCCAATAAGCCCTCAAAGCACCTTGTACTTACCCTTATTGGAACGCTTATCAAACTATCTGTTGTCTATTTACTTGATCAGCAACGTATCTAGCATCTGGTCCAGTGCCTTAGCCATAATAGGGGCAGAATAGTTTTTTAATAAAACCAAATAACATATCATGTACATTGCTATCTTAACCCCAACTCGTGGAATCCTTACCTTTCCTCTCTAGCTCTTAGATCTCCATACCCCCAGCATCTAGGACCCTGCCCTAAATAAATGGTTCTCAATGCAAACTGGTTATCAAACTGACTTAATCACCTGGTGAGCTTGCCATAAATAAAGATTCCCAGTCCTACTCCCTACCTCCCACGAAGATTCCCATTCAGCAGACCTGAGGTGATGCCTAGGAATCTGTAACTTTAGCAAACTCAAGTGATTCTGATTTGTAGTCATTCTTGAGAACTATTCTAAACGTAGTAGGAGCTCAACAAATAATGTTGAAAGTAACATTTTAATTTACTAGATCAGAAGGTTACTGGTTTCCTAACTCTTTAGGGTTAGAGTCTGCTATACCTGAGTCCTGAGTGTGACACAACAATGCACTAACGTACAAAAGTCCACAAAACAAGCAGCCTTTATTGCAGTATTACAAAACACTTTCCATTTTGGCAATATTTTACAATGCACTCAGCTTCAAGGGTTGGGAAGGAGAAGCTTTAAAACTAAAAGGGGAAATTTCAACGGACATTTCTAAAAGAAAAACTGTCCCAGCCCTCCCACCCAAATAAAAATCCAAATGTCACTTAATTTTACTACCCAAGAAGAGGCCACGAGGAAAGCAGCAGGCAAAACTCTGGCAATTTCACTATGGATCATGTCAGAGACAAAGGAACATTCAAAACAGTCATCAGTATGGTCGGTTGCGCTGATCATTTCTGTAGTCGTTTCTAGGAATGAAAAATAAAGAGCCACACTAAATTCTAATTTTCTACCAAGGGAGCATTAAACACTTCTTCAGGGTGCTGATGATTGGCATCCGCTAGACAATAAATTTCTGTAAGGATGAGACCGTGTTTAATATATTTCTAGCCTCCCAGAAGATGCTTAATAAATGCCTGACTAATTTATCAGCTTTAAGACCCACAAAGTTCCCAGAAAAAGCTTTTCTATCAGTAACTCAAAATTTTTCCACCTAGAAGGACTCCAAACCACTGAGGTATTTCAGGAGGTCAGAGACTGTGCCAATTCTAACAGCAAAGAGTGGAATGAGCAAGCAAACATTTTCATGTATAAATTCTGGATCTGCCACTGATTAACTATGTGACCTGGGAAAGTTACTAAACGTCTCTGAGTCTGTAAAACAGAAAGTGTATCTACCACATGGGGTTGACAGAGGGACTAGAACTAAAGTATATGAAGACACTTTAACATTATTTGCCACATAGTAAGAAGTGTTCAATAGATGGCAGACTATTAATAATAGCTAACAATTATACAGTATTTACTACGGGCCAGCAACTGTTACAGCAATCCAATACAACTCTACAAAGGAGGAATTATTGTTGTTATTATTATTATTAGCCTCATTTTACAGATGAAAATACTGATGCTCTGAAGGGTTAAGTAACTTGCCTAAGGTCACAAAGGTAGTAAGTTATGGAGCCAGGATTGAACCCAGTCAGTCTCTTGCTGTCATGCTTTTAACCATATGCTATACAAATTCTCACTACCCTATACTGCCTCTGGCAGACAGATATTTAGTTTAATAAATGAAGCTGTTTTACATCGTTGGTTCTTCAACTTTTTCTGCCTCTACATCACTCATGTGCACAACACACTCCCACCAGTAGCACCATCAGTGATTTTCATCTGGAAAAGGTATTACCAGAATCTCCAGAGAGACACCAGTAGCGCAGCACATGTGATTTGATAAAGAACCCCCTGTAAAAGGTGTGTTCTCCCCTCACTTAAGATTAAGAATCCCTGATTTAAATACAGTTTAAAGTTATTATCATTGCATCTCAATTATCTCTTGCTTTAAGGAGAGTAATACACACACCTACACATAGGCCCAAATATTTATGAATAAGAATTTCCAAAACAAAATCAATTTTAGAAACTGCTAAGCAGGGAAGTAAATGGATCTTCTCTAAGAGGGCTGCCAATGGGAAATTCAAGTTCCAAAAAGTCAAACAATTAACAAATGTGACCAAGAGGCTCAGACCCTAAAATCTAAGAGCAGAGAGATAAAAAGGTTACCAAGTGATACTCACCTTCCTCCCATTTTGCCTCCATAGCCACCTCTGTCTCCTCCGTAGCCCCCACCTCGGTCTCCTCCATAGCCGCCACCACTTCTGTCTCCTCCATAGCCTCCACTTCGGTCTCCACCGTAGCCACCTCCACGGTCTCCTCCGTAGCCCCCCCCACTTCGGTCTCCTCCATAGCCTCCTCGATCTCCACCATAGCCTCCTCTGTCTCCACCATAACCACCTCCTCGATCGCCACTATAGCCGCCTCCTCGATCTCCGCCATAGCCTCCTCGGTCTCCACCATAACCGCCTCCTCGGTCTCCGCCATAGCCGCCTCCTCGGTCTCCGCCATAACCGCCGCCTCGGTCTCCGCCATAGCCGCCTCCTCTGTCCCCGCCATAGCCGCCTCCTCTGTCCCCGCCATAGCCACCCCCACTTCTGTCTCCACCATAGCCACCCCCACTTCTATCTCCTCCGTAGCCACCGCCGCCACTTCTGTCTCCACCATATCCGGCCCCACTTCTGTCTCCACCGTAGCCACCTCTGTCTCCACCTCTGCCCCCACGACCTCTGTAGCCCCTCTCTCCACCATAGCCTCTCCCCCGGAAATCTGTAAGGTAGAAATACAAACCAATTAGCCAAGCAGAATAATGTAAGCCTCCTTAATGCAGTCAGAAGACTAGCACCACGTAGATGCTGTTAAATTGCTGACCCACCTCCTCCTGAGGGACGAGAATCCTCTGGTCTGGGCTCATTGCACTGATTGCAGGAATTTCTTCGAGCAAAGTTCATATTTCCACATGACCTGAGAAAGCAGAAAAATAATTCTTAAGAGTTTCCAACAGATTCAGAACCCCATCCTGCAAACCTCCAACCCTAATCCCAACCCTACTCCCATCCAAGTAAATGGGATACTTACGGATTAGGGCAAACCCAGTCCCCACTTTTGGGGTCTCCACCTCTCCCCTGAAAGCCTCCACGACCTCTATATCCTCCACGGCCTGGGGGAAGGGAAGGGGGAATGCAAGAGGGGAGAAAAATCAGCAGCAGATATTAACAAAGCAGAGGAAAAGCAGCAGATGAAAGAAGAGCAAGTGCCAGCAGTAACTGGGAAGCCCCCAAAAAACTAACCCTTTATGGCAGAACTTTGTAATTCTTTGATTTCAGGCTTTATTTAGTAAACATAGGAAACGTGGGAAGGGACCACAGGCCCACAATGCAGTGCAAACAAAGCACTAAAAAACATCAAAATTTATTCTCTATAATACCTGCTTAGTTTGAGAATACGTGAGAAAGGTTAAATAAGAAGATATATTATAAATTTGCAGAATTGGAACCAATATAAATAAATAAGCTAGCAGTAACTATAATAGGGAGTTTAAAAGCTGGTCAGGTTAACCCCGTAACTAGGTATCATTTAAACAATTGCCTCCTGAATTCCAGGTGAACAACAAACTGCTATATAGCTTTCCAAAGGGATTTCTGGAACCTTTTCCCACTACCTTCTTATATACCTAATCTCCTATTCAGTACCTACCCTCATTTTAAGACAGAAGAAAAAATACTTAGGGAGAAAAAAGGGTAGCAACTGGGACGGAACATGGACTCAAACTCAAACCCTTTTTATAGTATCCAGGCCTATCAACAATGAATATCTTACCTCGCCGCCCACCTCCACTTCCACCTCCTCTCATGAATTCAGGTCTTCTGGTGGCGAAGGACACTTTAATGATGTTGCCATGGAATTCTTTTCCTAAGAAAAAAGAAAATGGTTTTGAAAAAAAGTTGGCCGAAGTTCCTAGTCCACACCTCCACTTCCCAATAAAAATATAACCATCTTGGAAATTTTCAGTTTCAGAGAAATAAGGCATACTGAAATGTATCCTCACAGAAATGCAAATACATTAGTGCTCCAATGAGTCAAGGTTTAACAGTGCAAAAGCATGACACAATCTATTAAATACAGATTAGCTACTGGGAAATAGTCACTTCTTACTAGACTTACAAACACACACACACACCCCCCCCCAATATTTTTACATAAAAAAGGCCAAATGTAGAACAATATGGTGTACTACGCTACTATTCATGTTCTTTAAAGGTAGCATATATGCACTTGCACATGTGTATATCTATATACACATACATATGTGTGTATATGTCATGCCCACTGTGCTTACCTCTAAGGACAGGAAAAGAGATCACTGGCGGTCAAAGGTAGAAAGGAAACTCATTTTTTATTACATAGCCTTTGTACCATTTGAATTTTTTACCATGTGCAAGTAGTATCTTAAAAAATATAGTATGTGTATACTTAAATACATGCACACACACATATATTCTGGTCTTAACAAAAGGAACTGTTTCACTTTAACATAAACAAAAGAACTGATACATAAGGAAAAGGTACCCAAGGATTCATAAAACAGTTATAAATCCAGAAGGCGTAGCTTCTAACCAAAGCCCTAATGATTGTGGCTGGCAGCTTCGCATGATGCAGATGGTATGAACAAGCACTTTGACACAGGAAGCAACTCATGGATCAGTATTCTAACAACTGTAATAGGAGCTGGTAATATCTGAACTAGGAGCCCTGGTGAAAATCCTGGTGGCGCAGAGGTTAAGAGCTACGGCTGCTAACCAAAAGGTCGGCAGTTCAAATCTACCATCTGCTCCTTGGAAACACTGTAAGGCAGTTCTACTCTGTCCTATAGGGTCACTATGAGTCAGAATCGACTCAACGGCAACGGGTTTTCTCTTTTTTTTTTTTTGGTAGGAGCCCTGGTGGCGCAGTGGTTAAGAGCTTAGCTGTTAACCAAAAGGTCGGCAGTTCAAATCCACCATCTGCTCCTTGGGAACCCTACTGGGCAGTTCTACTCTGTTTTATAGGGTCACTACGAGTCGGGATCGATTTGACAGCAACAGGTTTTTTAATATCTAAACTATGAAGTTAGGTTTAAGAGGCTCATCTGCCCTGTGGGTAAAAGCCACAATAATTTTTTAACATTCCATGAGCAAAATTAATTGCTTTATGACTCACAGAAACTATGAAAAAAACAGAAAAGTGAGGAAGAATGGACTTAGTCTTCAAGAGCAAGGTGATGGGGCCTAGTCTTAGTGCAAAAAAGTAAAGAAAATGGAGGTGAGGACAAATAGAGTATCACTATCTCATCTATGAAGAAGTAAAGAATTGCAATTATGCAATTATGTTTTGGGGGACACGTGTGCAATAATCTTGTAAATGAAAGGGACCTTAAGTGTCTGTCAATACAGCACAGTTAAGTACTTTAGAGACAGTGGGGCGAGACAGCCTGAGTTTGAATCCTGACTTTGCCACTTACTCTATGATCTTGGAAATTACTTAGCTTCTCTATGCCTCAGTTTCATCATCTGAAAAATAAGGGCAATAATACGGCATATGTCTCATAGGGTTTCCGAGAAGATTAAGTTCAGTAATGCACATAACACTCTTAGAACCATGCTTAGCCCATAAACCACCATAAATATGCAGTTAAGTGTTATTATTAAATTAGGGTACAACAAAAATCATGAGTCTGTAAAAACATGGGGAAATGACTAGGTTAAAATGGTTAAAGCATGAGACAAAACTGTGTTTGGAATATAAACTATTTTAAAACGCTGGAAGCAAAGTTAACAAAATATTAGTGGCTATCTCTGAATAAAGGACTATGGATGCTTCACTCCTTTCTTCTACTCTCCCATATTTTCAATGAAAAAATAAGGCTATTTCTTCTAAGAATGCACTAGCTTTGTATCTGAAGAAAAATTAATCCAGATCTTAAAAGAATATAGAGTCAACCAGGCCAACCCGCTATACCTATGCTAAGATGGCCTCAAGCACAAGGCATGATACAAGGAAATATTCTAGACAAACAAGGGTACAGCTCATCTCATTTCTAATGGTACACACACAAACTCTGACCTGCATACTTAATAGAACATGAATATAACCACTGTATTCCGGAACATACTTTGACTTCAACATTAGATAACTTTATCCAAATTGCATGTTGAAAACTATATGATGAGGCATACCATCAAACCAGTCAATGGCTGCCTTAGCTGAAGGGGGGTCATCAAACGACACTGTTGCCTCCCCTTTTGGCTTCCCCGTGTCCTTGTCTGTGTAAAGATTTATCATTGGTTTTCCAGTCTTCTTGTTTGTCTGAGGGAAAAACAAGTTGGTGTCAGATAGCATTTTAAAAATAAGTGATCATGTACCATTTAGATAATCTGCACTAGAAAATACGATGCACCCAATATAAAGTTATCTATAGGTACTGACAAAGGAAACTCTCCAAGCTACACTAAGTGAAAAACCAAGCTATAAAAATGACACATAGCAGATTGTTTTATCCATGTATAATTTCTTTAAGCTCACAAAAAATAAATACATATACTGCTTCATGTAAATAGATACCTTGTACAACACAGAAAAAGGTCAGGAAGGATATTTACTAAGCAAGTCAACAGGTTACAACTAAGGAGTAGACTGAAATTTGGCTGGGATGGGGATGGGAGACAAGGGAGAATTTTTACTTTACAGAATTCTGTGCACTTTTACATATTTCTTGTGTAACTAATTTTTTTAAAAAATTGTAACACCCCAAAAAGGAAAAAAATGAGTACACAGACACCAAAACAAGGACAACTGCAATCTGATTTTGACAAGTGCTACAATCTACTTAACACCGCTCTAAACGATGCTTTCTAGCGGATAAGAAATACATACATGAAACATGTTGCACAAGACACTTAACAATAAACAATTATGAAAGAAAGCGTTATATATTGGGCTAATATGTAGCATAGATATTTAAATACCAAAAAAGGTTCTTAATAACAACTTGAGTTTACATATACTGACTGGCATTTCAGAATCTACAGAATGCTCTCACAACCTCATTTCGTTCTCACAATTTTTGGAGGTAGGTAGGGATTTAGAGCACGTCTTCAAACCAGTTCATTCCAGTTGGAACTCCTGCTGAGAACTTGCATTTCCACCCTAGATATACTGAATCAGAATCTACATTTTAACAAGAACCCCAGGTGATCTAATGTATGATAAATTTTGAAAACCACTGCTCTACTCCTGGTTCTCAGAACTGGTCCCTAACTAGTAGCATTAGCATCACCTGGCAACTTGTTAGGAATGTAAATTATCAGCAGGGGTTCCAAGCCCTGATTTCAAGCCTAGGATTGGAAACTAAAGCATAGGTAAGCTATAGAAAGGTAAACTAAGGGAAGGAAGAAAAGCAAACACAAGCAAGGAAGACATCTGTTGGCAAATTAAGGCCCACAGACATAGGTAAGCATGTGCATTAAGCAATTTTAAGACACAAGTCTTACTGGAGTACAGGTTTATTATGTAATCTACATATTTTAACCGGAATATGCTATTATGAGCTTTTCAACGTAAGTTCATACTTCTTACTCACCTTGATAATTCCTATTTGCTTAAAGAACTCCCCCACTTGATCAGTAGACACACCCTCCCCAAGTCCTTGCACAAAGATTGTGTTGTTATCTGAATTATCAGATTCTGAATCTAAAGGGGAAAAAAGTTACGGTTAATGTTACATATTCCTTGGTTTTACTACATCCTGTTCAGAAATCAAGAACAATGGTTTATAGTCTGATATTCAACTGTTTCTATAACCAAAAGGAATAGAAAGACCAATAATAAGAACCTTACGCAGACATGCAAAGTGGTCAAAATAGTTATTTGGTTGTAGATCAAGCCTTACAGCTAAACTTAAGGTAAAGTGGATTAAGTCCACCACTATGTGAGATACATACACCAATTTAAGGGATTTTATAAATCTCACTCTTCAGATTTAGATACAGGACTAAGGCTCATAAAGAGATGAAGAGAGTTAGCACAAATTAGCATTCCCTTCTCTGGAGAGCTTTAATTCTTTATGGCTAATCAGTACGTTTAAGGCTCTCTATAAGAAAATTCCCCAAATCTGATACTCTGGACTTTCAAGCAAGCCAAGCAGAATTGCTGGTGTCTCATTCATTGCAATAAGCTTTGTATATACCAGAGGGTAGGAGCACCCTGTACACATACCTTACCTTACACGCACACTTTTGGATTAGTACAACAAAGTAAGAAAGATGTACAAAAATTCAGTCCATCAAGGGATAATTCAGAAATTGCCATCCATATAGAATACTTTGGCATCTTAATAAAAACAAAAGTTCTGATTTCAATATGTATTAAAATTTTTTTGCTCAAAAAATAACTTCAAATAACTTTCAAAAGTCTCCATGAGTAAATGTGGAGCCTTGAATTTCATTTAAAAATAAAAAGCTACATGAAATCGGTGACCTCTGCCCAGAGTAAGACAAGTCTCTCATGTATGAACTCAGGTTTCTTAGACCCACTAAGAAGACTATCCAATTTGATACTTTCTTAAACACAACTTTTCTACTTCTAATTCTCCAATGATACCAATTCTCTCATTAAATCTGATTTGTAGTAACTATATGATTAATGCTAACAAGCAGCAAAAATTCACATTTCTTCAAAAAAGAAAAGGAACAACATGGGAAAGCACAAAGAGCAATTTTCCCCAGCAAGTTATACAATCAATCCCCCTAAATGTTTATTTTTGGTGTCTCTAGAATGAAGCTCCCTAGTTTTGGTAGCACTGTCAAATTCATTCTTCCTCCTGTACTAATCCCTCCAAACACACACACACTTTTCCACTCAAAAAATGCAACCAAAACTAACATTCTCTTAAATGCAAAGTCACAAACTACCATAAACCTTACCAGCATCTGGTCTGGGTCCATAATCCCTGTGACCTAAGGGAAAAGGAAAACAAAAACGCTATTTAAGGGAGCTCATTTGAGAACATAAAAAAATAGTAATAATAACCAAGGCATGAAAAGTCAATACTTCCAAAATCCTTGAAGGTCAACCATCACAGATTTACAAAGTAAATATATAAATTAATTTTTATTAAAAGTTTAAGAAATAAGATGAATGTCAACGTTTCTTTAAACTTGTCCCAGACAGCACCCGCCACTTTGGCATTATGCTAGTATCACTTTTGTTAAGTTCTGGTTGTGAAGGCTGATTGGAAAACCCTAGTAATTTATGAACACCATGTCAGCTACCTTTATACAAAAACATTTTCTCAAAATTCAGTGAAGGTCTCATTGGTCACCAGACTCTTTCATGCAAATTCACAGTGCAGAAATCCATTGGACTGTTTAAGAAATCAACTTTGCCTTTTTAATGTTTACTTTGATATACATATATGTGTATATATATAATTGTTTTTAAGCACACAACACACACCAGCCTCAACAGAGTAAGAAAGGGCTTAGACTGCATCTGCGGGATATTGGTGGCTCTTAGATTCATATAGCATTTCCACTGAAACATTTTGAGATACTCAGCACTTACCACCAAAATTTTTGAAGCCACCGCGGTCACCACCACTGCAGAGGAAAAATTGAAGAAATGATTTCTTCCTTAAGTCTCTAATGTGCTGAGCCCTGGGCTCAATCTACACTTAACTGTCACAAGTAGAGAGCCTAGGGAAACAGTAGCACCTCTAACTTTCCAGTAAGTTCCATTTCAAAGACTTCAAAATGTTGTTTCCGTCTAAGTGTATTCCCAAGGATCTATTTCCACAAGGGTACCTTTTCAAGCTTACTACATAATATAGCTAATATACTCTTATTTTAAAATCTTCCCAACCCCAAGCCAGAGGGATTCTATTCAAACCATAACTTAAAACTGGAGGCACAGCATAAAAAATGCTAAACCAGAGCAAGTATTCTTTCCAAGGGAATATTTTTAAAATATGAGAAAAAAGAACAAGACTAGAAGAACAATACCAAGTTAAGATTTTCATAGCAGAATAGGAGAGGTAAAAACTTGAGTATTATGTTCTATTGTGATATCAAATAGTGGGTTTTATGAGATGAAGAAAAAAAGTGAGGTACAAATATGCACAAAAGTAAACCTGAATGAAAGCAGGCCTAAAATTTCAAATCATTCAGAAATCTGATAAAATGAAAACTAAAAGAAAGTATAACTTTAAACTGCCCTCCTACTCCATATCCACTATAATATATAGTACATCTCTTCACATCAGAGATACTAAACCATGCTGCCAAATGCTCTGCACACTGATCAGTAGAACACATTAGAGAATGCAACATACTCTAGTACTACCACTACCCACAAGACAATGTCCTGATTTGGCAAATTTCCACCACCAGATAGTCAATGGTGCTCACGCACATAGCTTTATGTAAAAATCTAAGGTTTCTCTTATCGAGAAACTCTTAAAATAGCCGTGCATTAAAAGCTTGTTTCTCTTGACTGAATTATATAATCCTTCAAGATTCAAACCATGAGCTGACAAAGGAACAAAAAATACCAAAAGCTTTCAGATGGTGATATCTAATCTTCTACTATAACCCAAGAACTAAAACCTCTGCTTTTGTGATCACCCTACCTTCTAGGTGGCTATTCTGAGCCATTCCGAGAAAAATCACTCTAAGTGAGAAAGCGTTCTCTCTTTATAATAAATCTATTACCTTGATGCCAAAAATTTTTTCCCTTGCAACTAGCTTAGGTACAGACACATGCATTTTAACTTTCTATTCTGATTTCTTGAAAGCAGGAGAATAAAGCTACTTCAAGGCTATGAAGACAATGTGAAACACATTCACATACAGTTTCATATACATACAGCTTCCTATTAAGTCTCTAAGATCTCTCTTTTGTAATAGTACCCAAGTCCTCCCTACACTTCTAAATGACATGCTTAACTCATTACAAAAGAAAAACCAACAGGGTTCTTGAGAGTAAACTGCTGAAATCTTATCATTAGAAACAAGATACCTCAGATTTCTTCGAACATGATCATTAATGAGAGAGAAAAGAGCTAGTAACAATATTAAGCCCAAGTTCCTATGTCAGGAGATTAAAGCACCCAGAATAAACTTCTAAAAAAAGAAACTGAAGTCACTATTTTCACAAGTAAGTGCTAGAAGAGATATCTCTTAATTACTCTGCTGTCATCTTAATGGAGTATCAAATAGTTTACCTGGCCACAAGGAGGGAAAATAATGCAATTTCATACATAAGCTAGTTCCTATAATTTTCATTTTGGCCAAGAATATAACTTTGAACAAAAAAAAAAGGGGGGCATACTCCTGCAGAAAGAAAGGGATATAAAAACAACCGGCATCTGAATAGGCTTATAAATTTCCTATTCCTCCATATAATGACATTTTAACTCAAGCCATCTTTACTAAGCATTTCCTTCGAAAACAAAGCAGCTGGTATCAACACAATGGCCATAAACCTGGAAACAACACAGCACACTGGAAAAAGTACTGGTCTTCAAACCAAGAGACTCATCTTATAGTCTTTACTACTAATTAATCATGAAAATGTGGACAAGTCAGTAATTCTCCATGGGCTTCAGTTTTCCTCCTTTACAAAATAAAGGTCTACATCCTTGGCTATTCAAAGGGTGGTCCAAGGAACAGCAGCATGGACATAGCCTGGGAGCTTCTCAGAAATACTAGATCTCAGGCCCCACCCCAGACCTACTGAATCAGAATCTGCATTTTAACACGATCCCCAAGTAATTTATATGCACGTTGAAGTTTGAGAAGCACTGGTCTGGATGATCTCTAATTCTATGTGAAGCTTTCTTTCAAGTTCAAACGTTTTAACCATTTTCTTACTAAATAAACCGCAAGCAGTACTTACTACTAAATAGTAACAGAAGATAGGACTACAGTTAACAATCTTTCTTTCAAACCTTACAGTCAAGTTACAAGTCCCTTTTCCACATACTGAGTACCTCGTCAGCAAATTAAGACACAAAGGGTACTTCAATATCTATAATTCAAGATGTTGCCACCAACAAATTTGTTTTCATTCCCATAAAAAGCAAACATGTACACAGAAAGACCTGAAGTAAAGACATATTAAAGTGAAGTAGTAGAAGTATTTAACAGAGACAAAATATAAGCATATTCAACTTTATGACTGAGTGCCCCCCTGCATGAAAAAAAACCAGTTGTATATTTGACTCAACCACGAAGACGGTTCTCCAAGTTCAAAACCACAAAGATCAGCTTACCCTGTGGTAGATTCATGAGAGTTTTTTCACTGTTAAAGCATTACATATTTAGAGAAGACAGATTCTTTGACAGAATCTCTATTCTCAATTTTAATTTTTTTAAAATCTAAATTTAAATGTATCTACTTAAGGCTTAAAACTACCAAGGAATAAAAGGACAATGCAGGAATCTTTATTCCTGGAAAATTAACTAGAGAAAAAAGGGTCACATAAAAATTGTTTAAGAGATTAGTTCTTAAAAATGTGCCACTGTTGAGTTTTCATACTACTAAATCCAGATTACAATTTTTGGGATTTGAGGAAAAGACCAACATTAATTCCAAAGGTAAATGGCTCACTGGATTTAAATACCATTCCCGACAGCAGCTGTATTTATGTTTTCTTTACTCCCATGTCACGTATGTGTGGTAAAACGGCTTTCTGGGTTCAACATTTACCAACATTTTAGGAAGGCAAAAATCCATCATTCTAGAACTGCACTGTCCAATACAGTATCTACTAGCCACATCTGAAATGTGGCTAGTCTGAACTAAGGTGTGCTGTAAATGTAAAATACAAAATGGATTTCCAAGTCTTAGGAAAATAAAAAACAAGACTGTATAATACCTCATTAGTTATTCTTTATATTAATTACACGGTATCTTGAATATATACTGGGTTAAATAAAATATATCATTAAAACTAATTTCACCTGTTTAATTTTGGGGATTTTTTTTTTTTTTTTTTTATGTGGCTACTAGAAAATTTTAAATCGCATGTGGCTTAAGTTATATGTCTATTGGACAGCACTGTTCTAGACTACCACCAGAACATATGTATGTATTTAAGGGAGCTAATCATTCTTGTCAGATGGTGAAGACACTCAAAATTCAAAATAACTTTTTTTAGGCTTGAGATATTAGCATGAAACTACACAATTACTTAGCTTGACACATACTAATAATGAAAAACAATATCTATGATGTTCTGGTAGACAATTCTGCAATGCAGTAATCACAATGTTGAAGTTAAAAACACTGGGAGAATTTCTGAACTTAAACTTTTAATCCACTAAGGTATCAATGAGCAATTTTAGATGACCATCTTTTTTGCTGCAACTGCTTTTTTCAAAGAAAAAGATTTCCTGTAGTCCCCATAATTTTCACAAATCTCTCTTCCATATTTGGAAAGCTGACGGCATCCTTCTGATCTTACTTTGTCCTTCAGTCAAGCTATCAAACAATCTAAGAATGTCCCATCGTTTAACACAGACCCCACTCTCATCCATAAACTATGCCCCTTCTTCTTTAAATATAAATACAACTAATCAGATACTCTTCAAACAGTCCCCCAAAGGACGATATTTACAATCTTGCTATTTTTAAGTAAGATGATTAGAAACACAAATGGGAGTGCTGATGAAGACTAATGAAAAATGTCTGGATATTTTTGATACCTAAATGCAAAACTAGGTGTCAGGGGAAAAAAAAAAAAAAAAACCTAAAACTGGATATCTGAATTTGAATTCAAAAACTCTTTACCTTAATTATTTAACAAAGCACATCTTGAGCAAGATGTGACACATAAAAATTTTACAAACTTTAAATTTCAACGTCCACAAATGAAACTTTATTGGAACACAACCACATTTATTCATTTACATATTGTCAAGGTCGGCTGTGGCGCTTTACGGGCAAAGTTGAGTTGCTGCAACAGAAATTGTATGGCTTGAAAAGCCTAAAATATTTACTATCTGTTCTTTTACATTAAACCTTTGCTGACCCTGATATAGGGAGTAATTATCTAATCATCAATCCACATGGATTTCTAAAAAAGGCCTTGCATGAACACCCTATTCATTGGCTATAGATCTCCCCTCCCCCACCATACCCCTATTCAACCAGATCGGCATTGTTTTGACCTAATATATTGGACTTCTGGATAAGATTTTGTTAAAGGAGTTCTAAGGCTAAACAGAAAGGTTTGAAAATAAAAAAACTCAGTTCATGAATCACTATCTGGGCCACAAATTATACTCAAATATATTGTCAAGGAGGTTATAAGAGTACTTAAAAATTGGACCTCTGGGTTGGTTAAGGTATGGATGGTCCTTCCCTCCTTTATCAGGAGGATCATTCAAGTCCTCTCAGCCCTCTGACTCTAAGATGAGTTATCTCTCACAGATGAAAATTTGTTTTTAACAACTTCCCTGCCTTTTTTCATCCCTCTCCCCCTAAAAGGTGGGATTCTACCATTCTCTGCAGACAAGGACATAGTTTAATAGACAACCCATTTGAATATAACTACCTTATAAAGAAAATTAAACCTATAATGTACTATACAATGTATACCATTTCAAGGTGCCCAATTATCTAAAACCCACTAATAGAAAAATTAAAAAATTGGTTACCTAGTTTGGGGTTCTGTGTGAAGTAGGAGGGAAGCTATAGGTTAAGCACCATGTCACTTTACATTGCTCATTTCATTCATATCCATGACGGCAGACTACTCTCTTTGATAATGAAGAGGCATACAATATATTTGTTTTACCTTAGTAAACTGACTTTAGCTATCAATCAAAAGACTTTTAACGTCCAAGTATTATAAAATGTACTAAATTATGTTTAGACTTTAGTTGTTCCACAGTATCAAAGCACTGTACACTGAATAGAGAAATACAAGTTACTGAGATTAAATTCCTGGCTCACTTGAAGAAACAACAGTGCTGTATATAACTGGTTTTATATCCCAGGTCACCACAGGGGACAGACACTCAGTCCCTAAAGAGCAAAAGAGTGAACTGGTATGAGTATATAGTTAAGCATCTGTTAACGGGCCACTGACAAATTCAGTTCCCAGGGAACATAAAGCCTGTGTATTTTACACACAAATCTGCAATCTGCAAACCTCATCTTGGGACAATAAATGTCGACTACTTTTTCATTTTTGTTTTTAGAGCCAAAGGGCTAAGTTTACAGATACATTTAAAAATAATTTTTAAACCAATTTTCATAACTTATGCTGCAAGTGAATACCAAAACCTGATAATACTAGCAATGAAAAAAAAAACCTGAATCAAAAAGTCATTCTTTTCTCCAAGAACTCAGTCTAGACGAAATACACAATGCTGCACTGAATTATTTCAATAATTATTCACTTAAAAAGGGGGACAAAATAGTTCACGTACATTAAATCTTTCATTTCCCAATCCCACCTTTACACTCTGCTATTGCCTCCTACACACTTTCCCTTCCCAAGGGGATTCAAGACTAAAGAATGGCCTATCTTCCAATCTACAGTTCACTTACCTGTTATTTTTTTACAAACAGAACACTTGGATTTTCCAGATCATCCTGTAAAGGAGTTTGATTCTAGCTTTGGTAGGAGACATAGTCAAGTGGTTTAACCACAACCATGGTAGGGGAATTTTCTCTACTGGTGTTGAAGATACACCACACAAATTAACTGCTAACATAGCCTATTCTGAAGTAATTTATGTGCCATCTTAAGACTGAAAATAAATTTTGAATCTCTGTCCTCTTCTCAACAACATAATCTCTTTTTTAAGCCTCTTAACTAAATTAGATGCTGGAATCAAACCAGCTAAGTAACAAATTAAAAAAAGAAAAGAAAGAAATGTAGTTATTTACACCTAAATACTTACCTTGATCCTGTCATAGGACCTCTTCCATCCTTGTCATATCCCCCACGCCCTCTACCTCCTCCCTGTGACCCGCCATATCCTCTATTATCTTCTCCATACCTACTCATATCACGACGGTCATCTACAAAAAGGAAAACAACAAATACATACATAAGTACATAACCATTGTCATTTCTGACAAAGGCTTCGCGTAACAAGCTTAAATGGCTCTTTAAGTCACATATTATGTTCTTTTGAAAATGCTACATGTGCAAAGAACTCAAATGCAAGTTATCATAAAACCACCTGGAACTATATGTTTTAAGAACTGTATCAAATTATATCAAATTCCATTCTGCTAAAGTCAGATTAGCAAAATGATAATTTGGAAGAGTTTGAATTAAAGTATACCCTTAGGTAGAAGAACTGGTAAATTAGATAAAAAGCACAGCCCTAATCTTAAAAGTTATTACTTTCCTCATCTCAAAACATTTAAATGTAAGCCAAACATGCACAGGGAATAACTGGATTTTCAAACTGAAAGGAGATATTCATTTAATGAGCCTCTACTTTTACCATTCACTTATTTATCCAGTCAATTATTCAACAAATATTTACTGAGCACTTACTATGAACCAAGCCCTATGCTAGACATTGAAGGTACAAAAATGAATAAAAATAAAACAAGATCCTTGCCCTTGAAGTGTAAACAGATTATTAAATATCAGTGGTATATACAATGTGCAGTGGGAAAACAAGAGGAATGAATGACTTGCCCTCCTTAGATGAGGTTAGAGAAAGCTAATATGGGATCATAATTTTCCCAAATCAAGTATACCATGACCATCAAAAGGAACTGGTAGCAGCAGCATTGTCAAGTAATCAGTGCTAACTGAGACAAAGTAAATTCAGGTAGTCAGCCACCAAAGTCATGTGACCATTTGGGAGTCTCCATGAAATTCAGAAACAGAAATCTAATAAACTCGTTTTGATCACCATTAAAGAGGAAAATATTCAAGGTCATCTCAAATTTTTACAAATAGCTGAAATCTTATGTGAGCCTTTTAATCCAAAACTCAATATACAAGTAATTCTATGAGGTAGAAAAAGAAAAGTAGCAGGAATCAATATATCTTACCTTGTGTATGGTGGCTGTAATTTTCCCTTTGAGAATGATAGGGCTGCTGGTTTTGATTATAGGAATCATGCTGCTGATCATAATTTGACTGCTCGTCATACGAGCCTTGATGTTGATCATAGCCTGACTGCTGGTCATATGAATCTTGCTGACCATAGTCTGATTGGTCATATGAAGGTGCTCTTCCACCTTGGCTAAACAGAAATCAAGAACTTAAGAAATTTACAGGATTATGTTTACCAATAGTGAGCCAATTAAGACTGATATAAGAGGCCTGACCAGCTAAACTTCAGCCATATTAAATACTATTTTCTCATGATAAATATTTAGCTCTTTTACCTACAAAATCTTCTTTTAGTCAATGGAATGCCTGTCAAATGACAATTTCTGTATCATTGAAGACGTGCCATGTTATGAGAAAAATCACATGCACATTTAAAAATTGTAGTGATGCAATAAATCACTATGGTTGTCACTATCTCCTTAAATTTAAAAAAAAGTTAAAAATGCCACATAAGTACAATGTGTCTGATTCTTAAACAAATGTGCCACAATGAGTGGTGACTCCTTTTAACAGTTACACTGAAAAGCTCTATATATGCTAGTTTTTTAACAACAATGTCACCTCTTAAAATATTTTTGGAGTTTTTTTTTTTAATTTTCTTTAGAACCTAGAGTACAGATCTACCTCAGAACCTACAGTACATCTTTGATATATCTTCTAACAGTAAACTTCAGAAACAGTAATAAATCATTTATATTTAAGTCTGGTGAGTAAGAGGAAGGAACTTGCTTTGTGATGCTTTATTTTTTTTAAATCTAAAAAGAATTCTACCAACTAATGAAACTACTTCCTTATTATTTCATGCAATTCCAAAAGAGAAATCCTAAGCATATGTTCTGAGCAATATGGCTACATTAATTACCTGTTCTCAGGGTGGGAATGTTGAATGGCAACTTAATTGAATATGAGTTCTAATATGTTTACTTAAAAAAGGGGGGGGGGGACAAAAAAGATGTCATAATTTAAAAAAAAAAAAAGTTCCCATCAAGTCAATTCCGACTCATGGCGCCCCCATGTGCTCCATAAGCTGATTTTTCAGAAGCAGATCATCAGGCCTTTCTTCCAAGGTGCCTCTGGGTGGATCTTTTGATTAGCAGCCTAGCAAGTTAACCATTTGCACACATAATTTACTCGTATTCACATCTTATTCTGCAGCAAAACGATCTAACAAAGATCAGCATATTCACCAGGCCCCTACCGAAAGCAACAATTAACAATGGTCAGAACCCTAGCACTTCACTTTAAAATGGCTGTCAAACCCAACCTAACATTTCTCTTTGACCTACATTTATATGTCATGCTTCCAGAAACATACCCTTATCAAAGAATTCTCTTTAAATTTAAAATTAACCTTTTCTTTACCTCAGTAAAATGGAAATAAATTACCGACACTATCTCATACTGGTATTTGAGGATCAATTAGGTTGGAGAATACAAAAGCATTTCATAAAATGTAAAGCACAATTTAAAAAAGTTAAGTTACTATTATCAAAATTAGTAACAAGTACAGGCTCTTGAAATCTGAAAAAAAAAAAAACTTATAAAATCTGTAAATTTGTTAGTAAACATTTACCCAGCTATATTACCAAATAAAATGTATTTTAGGAGATCTGACATATATGGATGGGTTTTGGCTTTAATTTTTTTTGTCCCTAAAAAAGTAATACATTTAAATAGTTCAAAAATAAAGTTGAGATAAAAAGGTAGATAATGACGAAGTCTCATTTTACAGGCAGGTTTTTATTTAATTTCAGATGTAAAGAATAGGTCCAAATTTTTCTAACATTTAAATCACGTGTGTTCATTTACAGCTAAGCAGTAATTTTACAAAACACAAATTATAAGAATCAAATTACAATGCTGTGTCAATTTCCAGATTCCCCATGCCACAAAATTGAGAAATAACACTATCAAAACTTTTTCTGAAAAAAAAAGTTTTTCTAACAACTAGGAGTTTGTCGGTGAAATCTGCCTAATACCGAAAGTGTTATGTCCACTGTCCAACACAATGTCAGTACTTTTACTGTTTCCTTACCCTCCTGATGATTCCGTGTTTTGCTGTCCCTGGTTATTATAAGATTGCTGGCCATAAGAACTCTGCTTTTGATTCTCATAACCACTGTAGGACTGTGAATAACCTAAAGATTAGATGGGTATACCATTTAGTGAGGGTTCTGATTTTTAAATCTCTAAAATAGCAAATTTAACAAACCAGTCCAACCTGATTGGTTCTGTCCATAACCGGAGTAGCTGCCATAGTTCTGTCCATATGAGGAATCAGTCGTTTGCCCATAGCCAGAATAGCTCTGAAATTTAGGTAGATACTCAAATTTCATCACCTACTTAAGATAAAAGCAACTATTCATGAAGAAGGTAGTTTATATTTCAACCTACTTGTGGTGTCTGTCCATAGCCTTGGTTGCCTTGATTTCCATAGGAAGAATAACTGTAAAAGAAACATGCAATACTTGAAAGAAATGTGCCAGAATTTAAAAGTGTAAATGAAAAATTCTACCTTCATTTTCAACTTTCGACTCAAATACAACCTTTCCTGAGAAACTCTCAATTTGCATGTCTCTTAGAGTCTAAATTGAAAAAGCTGACTATTATAGGCATAAATAAAGTCATTTCAGGAATTCTTGAACGCCAAACAAATACCAAAGGTTTTCCTTTAGCAATCTCCCAAAAATAAAACACTCGAGCTAGAAAATCCCAAGAAAATTATGCTTACAACATGGCAAGGCCCATAAAAATATCTAAAGCAAAAAAATGACTTTTCAGGTTAGCACTTTAATCAATTTAACTACCAATTTTGACAGATTACTTCTATCATTGCCTTAGTTACGTCTGTCTTTAACTTCCTAGAAAAAGCAGTGACATTAAAAGTCTAGTTTAATGCCTCAGTAATTACTGGCATGTACATCTTCAGAGTATACTTATCAAGAATGAAACTATATTGTATCCCCAGTGTTGTTGCAGAGCCTGGCACATAGGAGTTCAATTTAGTTATTGACTGAATGAATGAATAAATGCACCTTCCTAAGATCTGAATTCTCTTTAATTTTATAGCATGTAAGTTCTAAAAAATCAGAAACAAACCTTCTGGATACATACTATGACTTTCTAATATCCAAAAAAAATAAATAAAACATTTATTTGGGGGAAAAAAAAAGCTTATTTTAGTCACTGGGAACTAACAGAATTCTTTAACTTTTAAAAATATATTTCATGAACACATTTGATAGATGCCTACTATGAGGTTAGCACTAGCCTCTGAAAATAAAAAAATGAAATTAGTTTTGTTTGCATGACACTTAAAAATCTTATGACAAAGGATATCTGAGGTGCTATATTCTGAATATCTCCCACTGAGCTGCAAAACATTCACATTAAGCTGAAGGCTATATTTCTGGTAGGCAAGAGAAGCCTAGTGGATGCCTGCATTCACAAAAAAAAATAAAAAAATAAAAAGACTTTTCTTTTTATTGTGAGCATGGTAAGAATTTTTCCGAAGATCCTAAATGTTTCTATTTATAGTACTTTAAGAAAAATCTGCTCTGAAAGAAACACATTAGCATATTATATACCATCAAAACATGAAGTATTTTTAACAACTTACTACAGTTCAACTACTTAAACTCCTTTAATAATTATATTTCTTCTAAGAAATTTCCCAAAGAAAACAATCTTTATATTACCTATAAGATTTATTTTAATCTCTAGGGAACATCTGTATTTATTAATATAAACAACCTTAAAAAAAAAAAAGACAAAAAAATTTTTTCAGCACATATTTATATAGGCAAACTTTCTTTCCCCAGTTAAGAACTATCATCTCTTAAGGCATTCAGATATCAAGTCTCAAGAGGGAAACATGACTAAATTCACTTTTTCTCAGTTTCACCCTTTCACAGTATTATTAAATATATGTATACTTTACCTTTGCTGCTCACCCCCAGACTGACCATAACTTCCAGAATCTAAAACACATAAAAAGAATTTTTAACCTTATTTAAATTATGCTTCCCTCCAAGGCTAACTTCAGCTTTTCTAGATGAAATACAAGAAAATGTCACCAAAACTGCAGAAAGGAAAACCAAGAATTAAAAAAAAGTGCAAAGAAAAACCTGCACATACAGTATTTGCTTTTTACAGTAATTAAATCTTTGAAAACTATTATTCTATAAATGTGTGCTAATGGTCATAAGAACCAAGTAAACAACTGTGAAACAATCAGTGAAAATCCATTTAACAAAAAACTCTAACCCTCAAAAGTATAAAGCTGTATATTACCTTTGTATGTTAAAACTACCCAGAACCAAAAGGGGGAAAGACATGAATTCTAACAAGTTTTAAATATAAATCCCAGGATTATATTTACTTGCATTATCTCCCCCATACCCCCCATGCTACTCCTCTATATTGGACTGCTTTGCTTGTCAGCAGCAACAAAAGGATCTCCCAAAGACTTCATAAAAGTAGCTGAGTTAGTTGTTTAACTCTAATTTTACCAAGCTTTCAGGGACTCAGACAATTGGCCTAGCAAGTTAGCAATACCTGCTTCTAAATTTCATTTTGGCAATAAAAACTACCAAGGAAGGCATAAATTGATATTAATATGCACCCAAAAATAAAAGAAAAACTAATTCGAACTATGGTTTTCAACACTTCAAGATGTCAGTCATATCAATTTTTAAAGATGCTTTATCCTCTCTTTAGGTTTCTACTCAGTCAAATGAATGGTCTAAGTTTACTTGTGATGAATGAATAATTTCATACCAAATACTCTTGCAATTATAAAAACTGACTGCCTTCTGAAAGTTTCAAACTGCTCACGATTAGACCCAACCTCACCCAATGTGAAACAAAACACTTGGCGAACAGTTTTGAAAACCTACCAAAAATCAAATTAAATCGGTGACTTTTTCATTCAGTTCACATAAAGCTACAATGAGAACACTGCCATTGGCTGTGTAAGTACATGACATCAAATTTGCCACTTTTCTGCAGTACAGTAAAAATCTCCAATCAGACTGAATGAGTAATTTTTTTAAATCCCTAATTTTGAGACTACTAAAAGAAATTCGACACAAAACTACTTCTTCTATGAATGTGGAGAAAGGCATAAGGTTACCTGAAATGAAAAAGAAAAAACTGCATCACTGCCATACTCATGATAATAAAATGACTGTAGAATTGGAGCTAATAACCAAATATGAAAAAGATGCTGAATCTAATTGGACCATAGATTAGCTGCATCCATCAAATGAAAAAAATTAGAGATTCACCCAAATCAGAGACTGAAAAGAGTTTTGGGGTGGGGGGGAGTGGGGGGGGCGGAACTGTGTAAGAATAAAACTTAAGTACCCAGTGGATATATAAGCCTTAGGCACGGACATGGGCTTTCCCAATGGCACCGAGTCTCTTAAGATCTCAGCTTATTTCCCTTTAGTTCAGGTAAAACTAACCTAGACATACCTAGGTCATGTGACCCTATCTCAAATCTGATAGGTACTATGGTTCTTAACCTTAACCCAAGAAGCCCTGGTGGCACTAAGAGCTCTGCTGCTAACTGAAAGGTCCAAGGTTCAAACCCACCCAGCAGCTTCACAGGAGAAAAGACCTGGAGAAAAGACCTAGATTTACAGCCTAGGATACCCTATGCGGCAGTTTTACTCTGTCTTCTAGGGTCACTTATAGGCACACAACCACCTTAATCTAGCCCTCCTGAATTTTAAATCTGACTCCTTCAGTTTGCGAACTTTAAAACTTGGGAAGATATAGAAATAAGCATACTGACAAGTCTGGACCTTAATATACTTTTATCAAGTGCAGATGTTTTTATACTCATCAGAGAAAACCAGTTTGTACCTGTTATCTGAGACATTTCAAACAATTGTTCATTTATGAGAACACCTGACACTTGTGCCTTGTGACTGGCCCATTATTTCGAAGCGCTTTTAAATTTCCAAAAGTGTAGGGTTTTTTTGTTTTTGGTTTCTATCTCATTGCTGGCCAAAAATGTATTTTCTGTACTATCCTTTGGTATCTGTTAGGATTTGCTGGGTTTTTTTTTTAACTCGCCCTCCCCCTTGGTAAACATTTACAGTAAAACCTGTGAAAGCCGGAATCTATGTAAGGTGCAAACTCGTCAGAGAAGGAAAACTCAAATATGTTCCACCAAAACAAGCGATAGAAAAGTGGTAAGACTGCACTGTCACAGGCAGAAAACTTGCGAGACCCAGAAAAACAAGGCAGTCCTGTCGAGTTCCAGCTCTCACAGGTTTCACTGTACTTTTATGTCTCCTAAGTGCTTGGAAAGAATTGTATTCTGGTGAGCGCATCTTGTTAAATCTGTAAGATCATGCTCATTAGCTGTTATCATTCATATTCTTCCTAAGACATGGTCTGCCTGACGTACTACTCAGAGAAGTGCTTAAAATCTCTCTTTTGACTATGGATTTGTCACTTTCTTCTTATAATTATCTTGTTGCTTTCTACATTTTGAGGCTGTGCTGTCAGGTATATAAAAGTACAGACTTTTTATATCTTCCTGGTGAATTTCTTTTTAACATTACATGAAGACTCTTATCACTAAAAATGCCCAAACTTTTGACTGGTAACATAACTTAAAAACAATCTTCCTTTAGGTTTGTATTTGCCTGGTTCAATCTTTTTCCATCTCTTTATACTCTGAACATTTCTTGTTCTTATGTTTTAGTTATGTCACTTATGAATGGCAGTAGAGATCATTTTTCCCAATATGAAAACTTTTGCCTTTTAACTGATGTTTTAGTACTTCTACATTCACTATTATTTATTTTTTATTTCTATTTTCTCATATTGGACTTTCTACTTCCTGTGGGTTTTTCCTCCTCTTCTAACTCCTTTCCTGCTTTCTGGCAGACTTTCTTTACTCCCTTTTTTTCCTTTCTATTGCTTTGGAACTTATACATTCAATTTCTGTTCCTTTAATAAGTCACCACTCATGATTATGTTCAGTTTTTAACATGGATTTTTGACAAAGTTCAAAATTATCTTTAACCTGAAGACCCTAGTGATCCAATGGCACACTGGTTAAGCATTCAACTACTAATGAAAAGGTCGGCAGTTCGAATCCACCAGCCACTCCTTGGAAACCCTATGGGGCAGTCCTACCCTGTCCTATAGAGTCACTGTGAGTCGGAATCAACAAAACAGGTTTGGTTTGGTTTTGTTTTTTTTTAGTAATCCAATACCAGTCATGTCTTTCATCTACTAATTTGGTTCCACCTCTTTTTTAATCTCTAAACTTAATCATCTTTATTTCCACTGTTCTATACAGTATTTGCTTTTTATTTCCATGTTTCCTTCCCTGTGTTGTTTCTGCTTGCATTCCCTCCCTTTTGGATTTAATTTCCTTTTAGTTCTTTCAGTAAAGGCCTGAATGGTATTCTTGGTATTTCTGAATCACATATCTAGATACTTATCTAGGTACAAAATTCCAGATCAGTGGTTATTTTCCCTCTAGACTCAGAGCTATCATTTCATTGTTTTCTGCCTTCTTATAACTGTCAGAAATCTATCAGTCTTACTGTCGATCCTTTTAACCCTCTTGTACATGTTAATGAAATTTCATAATCTGCAGTTTCACATCAATATGTCTGAGTTTATTTTTACTGTTTTGAGACTGATGCTTGATTGAAAAGATTCATCTTTCAATAATCCTGCAAAATTCTCAACTACCTATTAATTTTCCATTTTCTCCTGCTGGAACTCATTAGATGACCGGACTTTCCAATCTATTTCCCATGTTTCTTAATCTTTCTGAATTGAATTCTGGGTAATCAGATCACATGTATCTTCCACTTCACTAACTTCTGCTAGGTCCATCTGCTATTCAACATATCCACTTTTTCCATTTCTACAAGTTATTACTGGTTCTTTTTCAAAACCATGTGGTCTTTTTTTGGTAACATCTTGGTCTTAACGTTGATTCCTTCTTTCAGGTTTGTTTTTTTTTTTTGTTTTTTTTAATTTTAAACAGAGAACATTCTTTCTCAGATTATTAGAGGTACTAAATCCTGTTTGTCACTTTCATTTCGGTAAATTGTTTCCTAGAGTTCTGCAATTTCTTACTGTGTCCTAGGTTGTGAGAATTTCCTCAGAAAAGGTTTTTCATTTGTTTCTGCCAGGAACCCAAGGGTGGTATTGCCCAGAACTAATTTTTGGGTTAATTTCTTGGCTTTAAGGTTTCCTGGACCACAAAAGCAGCCTAAATGTACACCCAAATTGTGTGAGGTACAGGTTCCAGGTTACAAATTCTCAGGAAAGACTTTTTTTCACTCCGAGCCCAGGCTTCCTTGTAACTTCTCATGCTGGTAGGTTTTTTTCTAGTTCATTCTTTTACTGAAGGTACAGTACTTCAAACATCCAGGTTTTACATAAGGATCTCAGTTCCCACTACCAGGCTCTAATGGTCTCAAGGCTTCATCTCCTGTCCTTACATAGCTGGCATTAAAACCCAAGTCTCTAAATGATGAGGCCTACACTCTCCTTCCAGGCCAGCCACAAAGTTAGCTCTACACTTACCATGCTGCTTCCTACTTTGTTTCTGGCATCTGAGGCTTTCCCTTCCTTTTTTCTAAGTCCTTGCTTTTTTAAATGTTTGGTGATAGAGAATTTTCCAGTTATCTTGGTCTTCCATATTACCAAAATGAAAAGTATCTTGACCTTGTGGTTTTTATATGTATAACTTACATTATTAGACTTGTGATTTTCATTTGAAAGAGGTAGATAATTCACATTTGTAAAGTTTTTGACTGTCTGAAAGTCTGACTTACAATATTTACAATTTTGATTTATGTATTGATTACTTAAACAAGTTTTGTAAGTCTAACTGTCATGCATTTGGAGTGTTTGAGTCAATTTGATATATTAAATTTATAAGTGTAGTTCAGAATGTTTAAAGGATTTAACTAAGCTTGTTAATGGCATTAGTTAAAAGGAGTTTACTGTTAAATTTATTAATTGAACATTCATCAAAGAACAAAAACACTATACGAAGTCGAAACTATTATTTTTACACACATTACAAAATGTATAGAGTATAACAAGACTAAGTAAACAGATTCTAGCTTTAATAAACTGAATGTTAATATAGAAACAAGAAACTATTAGGTAGTTCTTTTCACACATGGAAGTCAATCTCAATGTTTAAAAAAAAAAATCAAAGTACAAAATGACAAGTATCTCATCTGGTAATTTGAAGATCAGTACTAATGGGTAAAACAGCTCAAAAATGATATACTGAAAAACCTGAATTTTATAAATGGTAAACCCTAAAAGTTAATTTGCCATTTAAGTAAAAACTACAATGTTTTATTTTATAAATAAAAAATGCTTTAACATAAAACATTGTTTTATACCAAAACAGTAGTTATGTTAAAAATCAAGACAGGCCAAAAGTTTTTAATGACCACTGTATCCATTGAAACTTGGTAAATTTCATGAGGGCATGTTTTTTGTTTTTTTAACCATGGACAGGTTACACATCCTCCTGAAAACGTACTTCTGTGAGCTTTACCAGCCTTCATTTCAAATGATGCACCTAATAAAAGGTGTTGTACCACTGTCTACTTTGGGGTAAGAAATTGTATCTTGTAGGAGCAAGGATTAAACATATTCAAAAGAGCAAGAGGTAAACTCAGTGCAGCTATAGCCTCTTAGACCAGGTAGATGGGTACCCAAAAGAGATCAATATTCTGTTTCTATATATCAGTATTAATCTAACGAATGTATCATGTATATCATTCTCGTCTCCAATCGTTTTTGCTAATTTGGACTCTTCTTAACCTGCTGCTTCCTTTTTGTCACACATTTGCATCCTTATGCAAGACTGGGTTGCTACTTTTTTTTAAAATATTAACAGGTTCGCCCTTTAAATGAAAAATACAAGATTCTGCCAGCAGGCATACTTTCGCCCCAACTATATGGCTTCTGGAAAATGTTCTGCTTTTCCATCTGAAAAGTGACATCTAACTCTCGTAATGGTTTCTACCAAGTGGGTACCTGGGTTTTTGCAGCCAGTGATGTGATGTAGCCCAACAAGAGAAGCCCTTGTGCGGTCAGCTAGGACTGCTAAATGAAGAGGACATCCACCTTCCAGACTTTACATTGTTTTAGCACGATCTAAACTTGCTGTCCTGAAGAAACTAATGCCTCCTTTTCTCTTACACAACGGGTGGCCCCTGCCAATTTGACTACCTCGTGGGAAAAAGACTGCCTTTCCTTTGGTAAGTTTTAAGGGAAATGCCACATGTACCTGCTGAAGCCCATCAATAACAGAAAAGGGCTCACTTTCACGCTCTTGTAGGAGGCCAACTGGAGGGGGGAGGGGAAATGGCGGTGGGGGTGTGTGTGTGAAAAGGAAGCTGGATTATATACAAACACCCCCAACTCGAACCCAGAAGACTAGTGCAAAGGGGATAAATACGATCTCATACAAAGCAACGTCCTTCGAAAGGGCTCCCAGAGCGTCAAGGCCCCCACCTGATGAATGGGTGAGTCAGGAAGGCCCAGCTTCACTTCACGGATAGGGAAACAGAGGTACGAGGCGACGAGATGACTGGCCCGAGGCCTCGCTGAAAGATCGGAGGCGGAGCAGAGAACCAGAAGCACCGATTCTCTCAGGCTGATGCTCTAATCACAGCACCCCCCGCCCCCACGATGGGGTAGACTGCCTCCGCCCCCCGACTCACACACACCCTCCCCCGGGAGCGGGTCGTCTCCTCAGGTTCCAAGGACAGGGCCAAGATACGGATTTGCAGACCGAGAGCCGTAATTTGCAGACCGAGAGCGTTGGGATCGCGCGTCCCTCCAGTTCAACATGGCGGCGGCCGCGGCCGCCCCCCCACCCCAAGCCTCCCTCAGGGCCGGCGGCTTTCCCTTGGGGCCCTCTGGTGGGCTGGAAGACGGCCCAACCCAGCCAGGGCCCTTCTGGCTTCTGCTGCTGCTCACTGAAAGAGTCACCTACCCGACATGACTAACGGCCGCGGCGCAGAGCCCCCAAAGCCCGCCGAGAACAAGGAATACGAGAGCCAGGCGGCGCGGCGGCCGGAGCTGTACTGAGGGCGGCGCGGCGGGCCGAGTCCGACTGCGGGGCCTCGGCAGCCAATCAGAGGCCAGCGGGCTATACCACAGCGCCAGGCCAAGAGGGGTGACATCTATACTAGTATCGGCCTCTGAACCCTGAGGACTTCGTAATCCCTCTTTGTTCTCCCCTCCGCGAATGGTACCATTATTGAGAGGGAATTGAGAAGAGAAAATACCAATGCGGCTACTAGGATGGGGGAGGAAGCCGAGCCTACTCACTCCGTCCTAATTACAATCCTGTTTCTCACTTTATTGGGTCTGACAGAGCTCGAAGTTAGGCAGCGACAGAGGAGGGACCTTATAAAAACAGGCTAATGATTGGGAAAGACCTTTCTCCCCCCCCAAATTTTGAATGGTATGCCCTAGTTGGCTCCGCTTTTGCTGCAGAGAGCTTGAGCCACCTGGGGGCGTTCGGAGTCGATGAGCTCTGGGACTTAAGAGTCGTGACGAGCTTGGGTAACTTACTCTCTGCCGATTTGTCGTAACTGACTTGTCAAAGAAAAAATTAAAGATTACAAGGTGCTACCGGAACAAAACTATGCATTAAAACAAAATCACAAACACACGCAATACCTGACCCTGAGAAGGGGGTTGGGGAGTGGGGGCACAAGCTTTAGTTTTCAATGCTATAAAAGTAGCTAACTCTGATTGTCCGGCGCCTTCCATCTCATTTAATTCTCACAACAGGCTAATGAAATACCAGTCCCATGTTACTGATGAGAAAACAGAATCACTTGCCCTAGGTCAGACTGCTAGTAAATGGCCAAGGTGGAATTCGAACCCCGGTAGCCCAACACCATTGCCTGTGGGCTTAACCGTTATGCCGCACCGCCTACCAAAGACAAAATCAAACCCGTTAGAGCGGAGTCGATTTTGACTCATGCCGACCCCATGTGTTACAGAGTAGAACTGCTCCACAGAGTTTCCTTGGCTGTAATCTTTATGGAAGTAGATTGCCAGGTCTTTCTTTCGCTTCGAGTGGCCTAAACTCTAGAGTATGAGATGGGGCTGTGAACGCTCAGAAAGTGCAGGACATTTTTGCAGAGGGTGCTGTAACATTGAGCCAAACCCTAGGTAATGTGCAGAAGCTAACCAGGTGAGTAGTAGGGAAAAGAGCTTTCCAGACTAGTGTAGAACAAGTAATTCAAAGTGTTTGGAGTTTACCTGTAAGGAGAGAGTGGTAGGAGACGAAGTCAGGAAAGTAGGGGGATAAAGCTGAGGCCTTATGAAGTACTTAAAAGTTTCTGCTTTATCTTGAAGGCACTCACTAGAGAATTTTAAAGAATTTAAGATCAGATTTGCATTTTCAGGATGCAGTGTGAAGAATGCATGGCAGGAAGAGCTGCGTAGAAGCAGGGACACCGATTAGATGGCCAATGTGATAATTCTGGTGAAAGATCATAGTGGCCTGAACTTAGATAATAGCCATGGAGATGGAGGTAAGTAAAGAGATCTGGGGGTACTTAGTCTGTAGACTGGACAAGACCTGGCGACCAATTCAGGTAGAACAAGTTAGGGAAGACAGAAGAATCTGGGATGAATTCTAGGTTTTCCACTTAGACAAGTGAGCAGATGGTGGTGTCTAGGGAACAGGAGGAGGGGCACGTTGGGGTGGAGGTAGAGGGGTAAGTTCAGAATTAATGCCTTCAGGTTAGAAAAAAAGCATGAGGTCATCTCTTCTGGTTACACTAGCAGTAATTGTGCCCTTAACTCTAGGTAAGAAGGTCACAGAGCCTTCTAAACAGGTCTAAACAAGCAAGGTTAAAGGGATAGAAATTCTTTCAGAACTGAAAACCATTTAGTATATCATTATACAGACAAAAGCAACTCAGAGGCAGAAGATGGGCCGGAGAGAATTAGGTTGGGAGGGAGGGCTCACAGTTCTTCTTTTAAGAATATTTTAAAAGAAAGAAATATGGAAAGTGTTGCCCATCATCAACTCTTTGAGTTTGTACCTCCGTCCGTTCATTCACCCGTCACTCAGCTGCCATCTCCTGAAGTCTACTATGTGTCAGGCCCTGGGAGGTCCTGGAGATCGAAAAAATAGGAAGCACAGCCCCTGCCCTCCAGAAACTGCAGTCTCATAACAGGGAGAGTACAAACCTGTGATTCCAATCAGCTGGATGTGCTAAGATTGGAGGATGCAGAGGGCACTCTGGAACACAGAGGAAGGGCATCTAACCCACATGAGGGGTGGAAGGGTGTTAAGGAAGGCTTACTGCAGGAGGTGCCTCCTGAACTGCTCTTTGGAGAGAGAGCAGGAATTAGCCCAAACCAAACCCATTGCCATCGAGTCGATTCCAACTCATAGTAATCCTACAAGACAGAGTAGAACTGCCCGTTAGGGTTTCCAAGGGGCGGCTGGTGGATTCAAACTACCGACCTTTTGGTTAGCAGCCGAGTTCTCAACCACAGAGCCACCAGAGCTCCCAGAATTAGCCAGAGGTTGTATATCAAGAATGGTATGCTCTGGGGAGAGAGCTAAGTTCTGGGAATAACAAATGGTTCAGTATAGCTCGTCTGTGGAGTTGCAAGCATGGGGAATGGCGATAAATGGAGTGAAAGAAGTAAGCAGTAACCAGAGCCTGAGGAGCCTTTCATGCCCTGCTGAGGAATTTGGACATTACATCAAAAGCATTGGAGAATTTCTGAGGAATCTAACCAAGAGTGTGACATTATCAGTTTTCTATATCCATTATCTCCTTTAATCTTCTGGACAGCCCTGTGAAATAGGTATTGTTGTTATCCATATTTTGTAGACGAGAACATTGAGGCTCGAAGAGGTGAAATTCTTAACCAATTTCACATAACCAATTATGGACAGAAGCAGACCTCACATCCAGGCCTTTGGACCAAGCCCACCATTCTTTTCACAGTGTCGCCCGGTGGTATCCCAAACTTGAAACAGAAAACTTCTGCCAGGTCTGCGCTGCTCTGGGGCTTCTTTCCAAGTGTCCTTCTTTACCACGGACTGACTCACAAATTGGCTCCAGTACCCTCCCCTCCTTCCAGGCTTTGAAACCAGTTGCCGTAGAGTTGATTCTGACCCATGGCAACCCTGTGTGTGTCAGAGTAGAACTATCCTTCATAGGGTTTTCAATGGCTGATTTTGTCGAAGTAGATTACCAGACCTTTCTTCTGAGGCACCTCTGGGTGGACTCCAATGTTTTGGTTAGCAGCCAAGTGTGTGAACCTTTTGCACCACCCGGGGACTCCTTCCAGGCTTTTGCCTGGGGATCATTCCATTTAGTCTATTACCTGCAACAAATGTTTAATCTTCACCCAGTCATTCTTCATGCTGTGGAATGATCTTCCTCCCTCTACTCCCCCTATCCTGGCCTCAATCTGCATTTTTTAAGGAAGACACAGGTACCTTTTCCACAGCACCTTTAGCAGGATGTATATCTGGGAAGATCTCTTGGTACTGGGCCTGCTGGCCCCTGACCCATTCCTCACCTCCTCACGTGGGGAGCTGACCGCTCAGCCTGCTTTTCAGTATCAGAAACTGTCTTGTCGAGTAGCTTCCAGCAAGAATTGGCCAATTCAAGGACTGCGTAGCCCACAGTCATTTAGGTCATTTACAAGCAGCTCTCCCCCTCCCCCATTTTACCCAACCGCTCACCCCTATGTTAGAGCCTCAGAATAGTCAGAGGCTCATTCTCTATGAAGACTAGAGAAGCATCAGAGCTCCCAGGAGGCCTGGGAAATTAGACAGTAGAAGAAAGGGAGAAGCGGGGGTCCTTTCTCTCCTTCTCTGGCTCAGGGTGTGTGGCAGGCAGCAGCTGTCTTCTCTCCAGTTCCAGCTTCCACTGGTGGCCTTGCCTCCTGGATTCCAGTAAACTCCCTCTTCCGTTTGTCCTTCCAGCCTATGGCTTGCTATTATTTCTGGGTTGCCTCTGTCTCCTTCTTCCTCCATTGATGTAGGACCTTGTAGGACATTGTAAGGACTATGAATTTACTCAGAGTGGGGAAACTATTAAAATCCAGTTGTCTTCAAGTCAATTTCGACTCATAGCACCCCATATGCATCAAAGTAGAACTGTGCTCCATAACTTATTCAATGGCTGATTTTTTAGAAGTAGATGGCCAAGCTTTTCTCTGAGCTGCCTCTGGGTGGATTTGAACTTCTTTTAGTTAACAGATCAAGTGCTTTTAAACCATCCAGAGATTCCGGGTAAACCATTGTTGTTGGGTGCCCTCGAGTTGATTCCAACTCATAGTGACCCTATAGGACAGAGTAGAACTGCCCCATAGGGTTTCCTAGGCTGTAGTCTTCACAGGAGCAGATGGCCAGATTTTCTGTCCCTCAGAGGGACTTCTGAGTTCGAACCACTGACCTTTTGGTTAGCAGCCAAGCACTTAACCATTGCACAACCAGGGCTCCTAGGTAAACCATTTAAAAAAAAAAAAGAAAACCAAACCCATTGCCATCAGTCAATTCCGACTCATAGTGAGTCTACAGGACACAGTAGAACTGCCCCACAGGGTTTCCAAGGAGAAGCTGGTGGATTCGAACTGCTGACCTTTTGTTTTTTTCTTTTTGAACCGCGGACCTTTTGGTTAGCAGCCTGAGCTCTTAACCACTGCGTCACTAGGGCTCCAGGCAAACCATTAGAGGGAGCCATTTGAGCAGAGGCCCTACATGATCCAGCCTGTTTTACCAGGACTGCTTTGACTGCTGTCTTGAGAATAGACCTTAGGGGCAAGAGTGGAAGAAGGGAGAGGTTATTGCTCAGACCAGAGTGAAAACCTGACCTCAGTGATCTTTTGCCTCTTTTAAAATCTTAGGGAATTCACCGTTGCACCACATAATTCAAGGCTTAAGCACCTGATTAGAGGTCAATTTGTTCTCTGGTTGGTTTGCAAAATTCATCTCTGAATCCCCAGTACCTAGTACAGTCCCTCAAACAGTGCTCACTAAAAAAAAAAAAAAAAAGGAAAGAAAACAAACCAACCTTGGATTTAATGAATAAATAGAAAAATAAAGCAGAGT